ATTTTAGTAAATTAGTTAATTAACTCTTATCTTTAGAATAGAAAGAAATGAAAGTTAAAATTACTCGTCTATATATTACTTCGACGCAACATGAATTAGTTTTGAGAAAATTACCAATAAGTTTCAAATAAAAAATTAATTATAAATAAGTTACAAGAATTTTATTAAATGCCAATAGGCACCAAAAAATTTAATATTTAAAAATCTTTCATATTTATAAATTGAATTGACTTGTTTACAAATCAAATTTAATAATTTGGCTCTGTCAGACAGCGTTTAGGCATTGAATGAGAAAACGTGCCATTGGTAAAATTGTGGTGTTTGTATTGGCCGTGGAAACTTTTGCGCACAAAGCCGCAAGCTAGGGGCAGAAATTTAAGGGTTAATTAATCCACAAATCCTTATAGTTTCAACGAATTTTGAATCAGGTTCCTATAGTTTTTTTTTTATCAGGTCCTTATACTTTTATTTTTTTTTAATTAGGTCCTTGTATTTATTTTTCTTTTAATTAAGTCCTTATAATTTCACTAAATTTTTAATTAGGTCCATGTAATTTTAATTTTAATTTATTAATTAAATATAAGCTTAATTAAATAGATTAATACTGAAATATAAAATATTCATAATTAAATTAAATTAATAATTATGTAATAAAAAAGTAATAGAATTAATTAATTCAGGAAAATTTTTTAGAACAATTAATTTTTTTGCTAAAAAAATTCAAATCATTATAATAATTCAATATCTTTAGAATATTACTGTTTATAAACTAATATTAAATAATATATACTATTTTAAGTTTATATAATAGTACTATTAGAATTTATAAAATCAAGAATAAAAAATTTAGGGACTTAATTAAAAATAAGGTGAACTTATAAGGACTTGATAAAAAGAAAAATAATACAAGGACCTAATTAAAAACATGTGAAAGTATAAGGACTTGATAAAAAGAAAAAAACTAAGGACCTGATTCAAAATTAGTTGAAACTATAAGGAGCTGTGGATTAATTATCCCGAAATTTAATACGTGTGGCTTTTGAAATGTGGTGAGAGGATAAGTAAAAAAAACAGAGGGGTTAAATGAAAAGAGGAGAGGAAAAGGAAGAGAAAATTTTAAAAAAGTCAATTTAAAAGGTTAAAAAAACGGGGTTAAAAATTTTTAATTAATTTTTAATACTTTTTTATATTACTTCTTCTTTTTATTAAAATTTCAAAACTCCACTTCTCCAATTTTTTAAATAAAGCTCATTAAAAATTTTTTTTTCCTGCCCTCTCCTTTATTTTCCTTATATCAAACAATACCTTAAAAGATTGATCAGTAAGAGGGAAGAAGTTAAACCACAAAGAGGAAAGAAGTTAAATGCTACATGAAGAAAAGAGACTAGGTTCCACTTTTTTATTTTAATCAGTATTATAAAAGTTAATCCAAACATAAATCATATTATACTAATTTTTATTCAAACTTATATTATGTAAATTTATAACTCTTCATTTTTTTATTATTTTTTTAATATTTCTCTTAAAGTTTTCGTGTTATGTACATATGATATACTCATTTGGTTTCATTTATAAGTTACTTCTAACATGTTTCACATATATTAAGAACAATCTTAAACTTTCTTAACTATTCTTTAAAATTCAATAACTTTTCAATTTTATCCCTATTTAATATATATTATACCCCATAAAAACAAAGCTAACACAATAATAAATAAAAGGTAAAATTATACATTTATATAAAACAATTTCTCTCTATCCTTTTTTTTAATTTCATGTGAATTTATAATTAAATGCTAATATTTCAAAAATAAGACACATAATAATGTGTAATTGCAGAACTTGACATAATAGATGTAAGAAACTTGACGTAAGTATTATTTATTATTTTTCATAAACATATTTACCCTTCTTATTGGAGACAATTCTATTTGAGATATTATCGGGTATTAAATATGGGTACCACTTTTAGTGAGAAGTATTGTCCATTATTTTAATACAAGTAATACAAATGAAATTTGTTTGCTTGTTGGATTTATTGTTGCTCCACGGGTTCACTGGCTTGGTATATGGAAGGCCCAAGGTTAACAGGTTGGGCTTAGCCCATCCATTGGCATTCGGAAAACAATGCGCAGAGATGGGTCTGATCCTAGCATGTTAATGAGATTAGTAATATTTTTATTGCGTAAAAAATAATAATTTTATTAAAAATTGTTTATAAAAAAGCATAATTCATTAATAAAAAAATCAAAGTATAAATTTCAAGCGTAACACCAGGAAATAGCGTTTGAATTATTTAAAAAAAATAGATTTTACACCCCACACGGGGATAAAAAATTTTTTGTTCCCTCCCCTCCATTTCCTTCCCGCCAAGCATGGGATAAAAATTAATAAAAAGTTAAAAATTTAATAACTATTGAGTTGATTTTGTAACAAATGATAAAGCTTAGTAGATGTAAAATAAAGGATTAAAGGGCAATTTTGGGCAAAAAAATATTTGCGTAGCAGCACTTGGTATCTGAAAATTTGATAAAGCATGATTAGATATTTTTGTTTTACCATTTGTTTCAGGTTTAAATGAGTTAAATGGACTATATCAATTATTTAATCAGTTTAGAGTTACTCTATTGCATGATTTTAAGGATTTAGAGTTAGGGTTTGAAAGTCAGATGAGGGTCATGGTTGAATATGATAATTTATCCAATTAAATTTGAGTCTAATGGTTGGGTTATGTTTAGTTGAAGTGAAATTGATGATTAATGAGTTTAGTTTGTTGAATAATATTGAATTTCATACATGGGATATGTTGAAGTTGAACCCTAAGCTAAGCGAATGGGGATTTTAATTAATTAGAGGTCTTGATTGTTAACTGGGAGATTCAAATGGATTGAAAGAGCTAAGTAATAATTGAAATTGGATCTAGGAATGAGGAATAAGCCCTAGAAGTAGTATGTGGGATTCCTAAATTTATGGGATAGTGTAGTGTAGTTAACTTGTTTTAGTATTATGTTGATAATAAGCTTCTGTACATACCATGCAAATTAACAGAACTAGTTTCAATACTCATCGTGATGATGAGCATCACGATGCTATGATGAAATCTAAACTATAAATATAAAATGCTAGATTAAAATTTTCAACTAGTGATTTTAAATAAAAAATTATTTTTTTAAAAAAACCTACAGTTAAGATATTATATTCATTTTGGATCACATACCTATTAAAGGAAAGCATTTTTAAAAAAATAAAATCTCAAATATTAAATATCAATAATTCATATTATATTTGAATGGTTGGGATTCGATGAGAATTATGATACTCCGACAAATATTGAAATTGGTTCCTTAGATTAATTTTGATATTAGCTTGAAGTCTTGAACATTCGGATTTCACAGGTAGCCACTACTTGAGTAAGCTAAGGTGAGAGTCAACCACGTTTGATTCACTCTGCATGTTTGTATTGCGTGTTGTGAGCTATTTTGTTATATGAATTCTAAAAAGCTATGATGTAGTTGTTTTATAAAATGCTTTATTCTTGTGGGACTCAAGTTGAATATGAAATGGATGTTTTCAGGGTTTGGATAATCAAAGTATAATTTAGTTGTTTGAAAGCTTGATTTTGAACTTTGAACTGTATTATTGCATTGATGATTATCACGGTTACTATTGCACTAGTATGGGATGAGGTCAGATTGATGGGAAGATATATTTTAAAGATTGGCATGCCACCATCAAGGAGCTCAGTGATATACACATGTGAGAAGATTAGTGTAAAACGTAAAAGTGATGCTTTGGAGTGCTAAAAGTTGTGCTGACAAGCTCGCAATAGGCCTTACAACATATTGCAAACATTACAATGTTTCATGATCTGCTTCCAAATATGTATGAATTTTCTGAGAGCAAACATGATTTAGAAGCATTCTGGGAGCATTTGTGCTTTTTGCACTTTACTAGATAATTTTTTTTTATATATTTCCTTTATATAATATAAAATCATATCCAATTTTCTTTTTAAGTTAAGATGCAAAATTGATTTAAATTTTTTTGCTCAGGAGCAATATTGTTTTGAAAGTTTTTTTGGGGTTCAATGTGGTTGTAGAAATTTCAAAATGTAACAATATTATCTACTCCTCCGGTCCTTAATATAGGACCCAATTTTTGAGTTGGTTTTGGTTCTAAATATAAGAGCCCTTTCTCATATTTATCAATTTTCTCTAAATTACCCCTATGAATACTCCCTCAACCATAATCAAGTAAAAGAGGAAGATGGAGTATTAAGAAAGATGATTATGGTGTTTTAGGAAAAATATGTCACTTTTCTTATAATTAACTAACTTACCTAACTTCCTTAATCTAATCAAATTAGTTAAATGAGTCTTATATTAAGAACTGGATGAGTATTTCCATAAAAAAACCTAACGTTGAGCAGTAAAAAATTGATGCTGACTGTTAATATTTTTAACAACAAGGGTAATATGCTTCATTTTAGCACTTTTGAGGCAATCTTAAATCCGAAAAACCTTCGGACAACATTGCTTTTAAATAAAATTTTTTGGAACAAATGTTGATTCTGACATTTTTTTTTTTGCCGCCATTTCTCTTCCCCTCAATTCCAATAAACACTTGTACATTTTTCATGGTTTATGTTGGCATTTTATTTAAAAATACAAAGAGGTTCCAGTTGCGTTTGTTTCCGCTCTTGCAATTCTCTCCTCAAATACCACACTGCCACCATAGCGCGTGCACTGCAAACCAATAAAAAGCCTGCCCTTCTCCTGTACTGTTCTCACGAACATGAGATATCGCGTGTGAGACAAAGACAACGCGGTTCAAAACGGAAAGGAAGAAGAAATGAATTTCAAACTAGACCACAGATTACTGCATTTGAATCGACGGACCAGATTGCTTTCTACAACAGAATACGAGTATATTTTTTTTTTAAATCTCCTGGGACCAAAAAAAAAAAAAAAAGAAGACGACAATATTCTTAGCATAGGCGTCCCTGCTAGGGCCACTGCAACTCCCTTCTAGGGTTTGAGAATCGCCGCGCTTCCCATAGTATTGAATTTTTCTTCACCCGCTTCATCACTCTTCTCTGTATACCCAGCTTCATTCATTATTTTGCCGTAAGTTCTCTGTAATTGATTCGCTCCCTGTAATATTCAGTACAGTGATTTAGGGTTGCTGTTTTGTTTTCATTTCCTTGCCGACTTACTTGGATGTTTGTGATCGTCATCTGATTCTTTCTTCAAAATAAATTCTCTCTCTTAAATGATATTTAGAAAAGTGAAGTGATGTCATGTATGTTTGCTGGGAAGAGGTAGAAAACGGAAGCGAACTTGACTCCTTGCATTTTCCATCTGTTGGGACTTGCTTAAGTAGTCTAACAGTGCTAAACTTTTTGTTTTTATCTCAATAACTGTAGCGCATATGCAGGTTCCGGCTGTGGTTTGTTGAGTTTATTTTTCACTTCCCGTACTCTAAATTATTTTGGCTTGACTTCTCTTGAAATAATCTTACTCTTTGATCACTAGGACATTGTTAATCGTTTAAAGATTGATAATGTTGTCTTCGGAACGGCTGTATCAGTATCTTGTATTGTTATTTCAAAAAATCTCTTTTACCGTAGCCAGTTATTCTCACTTTTGGAGCGTAATACGGAAATATTTAAGGGCATATATTATTATCCTTTTTCTGTTTGTTTTTCAGGTCAATTTTTTGTTGCTATTACCTTTAAGGACTTCCGTATCTGTTTAATTACTTGATTAGATTTGTGTGCCCCAGGTTCAGATGGCCATGGAGGTTACTCAAATTCTTCTAAATGCGCAAGCAGTGGATGGCAGTGTACGGAAACAAGCTGAAGAAAATTTAAAACAGTTTCAAGAACAGAATCTTCCAAGTTTTTTGTTTTCTCTTGCCGGGGAACTGGCAAATGATGAGAAACCTGCAGAGAGTCGGAAGCTTGCAGGTTTAGTTCTTAAGAATGCCCTGGATGCAAAAGAACAGCATAGAAAGATAGAGCTTGTCCAGAGATGGTTATCATTGGACTCAACAGTAAAAGCACAGATTAAAGGATTCTTGTTGAGGACCCTTTCCTCCCCTTCTCTGGATGCTCGATCAACTGCTGCACAAGTTGTTGCAAAGGTTGCTGGTATTGAGTTGCCACACAAGCAATGGCCTGAGTTGATAGAATCTCTCTTGTCTAATATTCCTCAACATCCTGCTCCTACAAGGCAGGCAACGCTGGAGACTCTTGGGTACGTCTGTGAAGAAGTTTCCCCAGATGTGGTGGATCAGGACCATGTAAACAAGATACTCACGGCTGTTGTTCAGGGCATGAATTCTTCTGAGACTAACAATGATGTCAGACTTGCTGCAATTCAAGCCCTATACAATGCCTTGGGCTTTGCTCAAGCAAATTTTTCAAATGATATGGAGCGTGACTACATCATGAGAGTTGTCTGTGAGGCTACCCTTTCCCCTGAATTGAGGATTCGACGTGCAGCTTTTGAGTGTTTGGTTGCCATTGCATCAACCTACTATGAAAAGTTGGCTCCTTATATGCAGGACATATTCAATATTACTGCCAAGGCTGTGAAAGAAGATGAGGAGCCAGTTGCACTTCAGGCTGTTGAGTTTTGGAGTTCAATATGCGATGAAGAAATAGATATATTAGAAGAATATGGAGGAGATTTTAGTGGCGATTCTGATATTTCTTGCTTTTATTTTATTAAGCAGGCACTTCCAGCTCTTGTTCCCATGTTATTGGAGACACTATTAAAGCAAGAAGAGGACCAAGATCAGGATGAAGGGGCATGGAACATAGCTATGGCTGGAGGCACATGTCTGGGCTTGGTTGCTCGGACAGTTGGTGATGATATTGTGCCCTTAATTATGCCATTCATTGAAGAGAATATAACAAAACCAGATTGGAGGCAAAGGGAGGCTGCCACATATGCCTTTGGCTCTATTCTTGAGGGTCCATCACCTGATAAACTTGTGCCACTTGTAAATGTTGCTTTGAACTTTATGCTCACTGCATTAATGAAAGATCCAAATAATCATGTAAAAGATACTACTGCCTGGACTCTTGGACGAATGTTTGAATTTTTGCATGGCTCAGCTCTCGAAACACCAATTATCACCCAAGCTAATTGCCAACAGATTATTACAGTCTTGCTTCAAAGCATGAAAGATGTTCCGAATGTTGCTGAGAAGGCATGTGGAGCTCTTTATTTTCTTGCCCAAGGTTATGAGGATGCTGGATCTTCTTCCTCTCCATTGACACCCTATTTTCAAGATATTGTCCAAGCCCTTCTTACTGTCACTCATAGAGAGGATGCTGGAGAATCACGCCTTCGAACGGCGGCCTATGAAGCCTTAAATGAAGTTGTGAGGTCTACTGCTGATGAATCAGCTCCGACAGTGGTACAATTAGTTCCCCTCATCGTGATGGAGCTCCACCAGTATCTTGAGAAACAAAACCTTTCCACTGATGAGAGGCAAAATGAGCTACCAGGCCTTCTTTGTGGTTGCTTGCAGGTCCTCATACAAAAGTTAGGTTCATATGAGCCAACAAAATTTCACTTCATGCAGTATGCTGACCAAATGATGGCCTTGTTCCTAAGAGTGTTTGCTTCTCGAAGTGCCACAGCACTTGAGGAAGCTATGCTTGCAATTGGAGCTCTGGCTTATGCTTCGGGCCCAGATTTTGCTAAATACATGCCTGAATTTTACAAGTATCTGGAGATGGGACTCCAAAATTTTGAGGACTACCAGGTTTGTGCTATCACAGTGGGCGTGGTTGGTGATGTATGCAGGGCCTTGGAGGAAAAGATTTTGCCTTATTGTGATGGGATAATGACCCAACTTCTGAAGGATTTGTCAAGTAACCAGTTGCATCGATCTGTAAAGCCTCCTATATTTTCATGTTTTGGGGATATTGCTTTGGCAATTGGTGAAAACTTTGAGAAATACTTGTTATATGCTATGCCTATGCTTCAGAGTGCTGCTGAGCTATCTGCTCACACATCGGGTGCTGATGATGATATGATAGAGTACACAAATTCTTTGAGAAATGGAATCTTGGAGGCATACTCTGGGATCTTCCAAGGGTTTAAGGGCTCCCCGAAGACTCAACTCTTGATGCCCTATGCTCCTTATATACTACAGTTTTTGGATAGTTTGTACATGGCAAAGGACATGTAAGTAAACTTTTGTACTTGATATTTTGTCAGTTAAATTCCTGCATTTTAATGTTTCCTTTTTGTTTGTCTAGGGATGATGTTGTTACAAAGACAGCTATTGGGGTGCTTGGAGATTTAGCTGATACGTTGGGCAGTAGTGCTGGCCCCTTGATTCAGCAATCTGTGTCCAGCAAAGATTTCCTCAAAGAGTGCTTGTCATCGGATGATCATTTGATTAAGGAATCAGCCGAATGGGCCAAGTTGGCTATCAGTCGATCCATATCATTTTGAGGTAACCATCCTTGCATAAATTTGTGCGCATGGGTGAGTCACAATTGCATGTCATGAGTCAGGTCATCACCACTTTTGGGCTTAATTTCTTGGGTACTTTAGCTGTCTCAGTTTCTTTTCAGTGACATGGAGTCTGCATTTCCATTTCGTTTTCATTTTGTTTTGCATTTCTCTACACAATGGTGGGTGATGATTTTATTTTCTTCTAACTTCGCAGAAAATATGGAGTTTTTCATACAGGAAGAGAAACAGGGCTAACAGTGAGGATGGACCAAAATGGTGATTTCCCATCATATATGTATATGCCAATGCTGTCTCTATTGGCTCAGCTTGATTATATTTCTTCATATTGGGCCGGTGGTGTACCCTCTGATATTTTATGGGTTGTAGAGCTGGGAGGGATACAGTCTGTCCCTGTCTTGTTATTTTTCCTCTATCATTTGGCTGTAGAGTGGAAAACAGTTATCTTGGTCTATGTTTTGGAATAGGCAATGAAACATATTTGCAGTCAAGTTAGTCAATCATTCTTCATCCATTAGTTTGTATCGAGTTTTTAGTTGATTTTTCATCTCATTCTATATATGAATACATCTTCAACATCTGTGAATAACCTGTCATCTTTTGTGATGAGGGTAACTCCTGAATATTATATTTTTACCTTCTAATTTATTCATTTTGATTTTAAAAAAAGTAATTTTGGAGAAATAATTGATAGTAAAATGATTTTCGTAGCCACCAATCCTTAATATTGGTACCCGGTAAATCCTGATTTGAAAATTAATGTTCAGTTGGTTTCTTTTGAATCTCTACTATTTGGTTGCTAGTCTGCCACTTGTATAGGATATTTGTTGCTCTATGATTGCCTGATGAGATAAATAAGGATCCAGCATTAGCATATTGTGACAGGTTTGCAAGGAGAAATATTGTGTACATTTCCCTTGGATGTGATTGCTGCTGTTCAAGATCACGCAGATTTCACGACTGGCTTCAAGACACTTCTTTATCTTGGTGTTACGATGACTGTAAGGATCTATCATGAAGCCTTGCATTTTTCATTTTCTGGGAAGTTATATAATTTCTGGGAAGTTGAAAGGTGATGCTTTATGGGGGAAACTAATGGCGATGGAAGTAATAAAAGGAATTCAATGAAACTACATTGTTCATCTGTTTCAAAGAGAAATTAAAAAGAATTAGAGGGCCTTCATTGTTGATGTTATTTTGCTTGATGCTTTAGTATTACTTTAGTACCTTCCCTGCAGTATTTAATGATAAATATAATTATTGCTAGGGGAAGGATGGGGTATTTTCTTTTGTATGATACTATTATGAATTATAAATTTAAATATTAAGACTTCAAGAGAACTAGATTATTCGAATTATGTCTGAAAAATATGAAACTTGACTTTGATATTGAGTTGGAGCCAAAGTTGAATTTATGCACAATTGTCAAGGCTAGCTTGTAGACAAAAAAATTCTCAATGGTACATTTAATAAAAGAAGTGTGTTTTATGTTACAAAATTACATTTTCTTGCTCAGGTGATTGCAGTGAAAGGTTTGCAGCTCAAAAGTTACGACTTAAATCTTTGTCCAGCAAGTGCAATTATTTCTGATATTAAGACAGACTTGTTATTGCAAGTGCAACGATGCCAGGATGGAAACGGGGAATGATACTTATATCACAAATGATTGAAGTTTTAAAAATTGTGCTGACTTGCAAATGTTTAAGTAAATAATTCTAAATATGAAAATCTCAGTTGCAAATCACTGAAAGTAACATATTAGCATTAAATTTTTGATTTGAAAATAACATTTTTTATATTTACAATTTTCTAACTCTATAGCTCCTCTTTTGGTAATTGGAGACCAAATTATTAATAAACAGAGTGATGTTTGGGGGGAAAAAATACCTTTGTATGAGGCCTATATTCTAATGTTTTGTTCATTGGATCTTTCTTGTCTGTCTCACTCCAAGTTCACGATACACACTTCATATATGTAACGATCGGTGATGCGACAATAATGGATCGGATGAGTTAGGGTCAAAACCTACCTGCTGGTTAGAACAGAAAAAGGTCAAAACTTGTCCATCGAGCCCGCATACATATGGCATAAGGAGATTGGACTCTCAAGGTCCTTTTTTCGTAAAAAATTTGCTGAAGATTTCAATCCCTTTTGTCACAAAAGTGCCACCTTTAACAAAACGTTTTTTTACTTGATATGATCTAGTAACGTTTTTCGGCCCCAAAAAAAAAAGCAACATTTTTACTTAATACTATCTCCTATAGAGCTAGTTAACTAATTTGAGTGATTAAGAAAATTAGTTAAGTTAATTATTTGCAATAAATAAGTATTATTTTTCTTAAAGTATCTTTGCTAATCAAGTTTATTAGTTAGAACTAACATTATTATAAGAACTATCTTTTAAAAAAATAAATAAATATAAAAATAAAGTAAGTTTTATATTTAAGACCAAACTAAGTCAAACAAACTTTTATATTAAAAACCGGAGGTAGTATGATTTAGTCCTAAATATTAAAAAAGTTAACAAAAGTACCACTGTAACCACCTTTGATAATTTCCGAATACCATACTAAGCCCAAGATAATTAAATACCATACGTCACTTTATATCTATCATGTATAAGTCATAACGTGATGCTTGATAATTCAAGATACTCCTCTCAGCACAAGCATTTGAAGTTTCATTGTCAATAGATGATCATGAAAACCAACTTTGATAGTAAAATAGAAAAGAGAACGAAAATCAAGATTCTGGTAAACCAAACATTCCCTTTAGTCTTTGGAGCTTATTACCGGCGTATTATATTCAATGTCATCCATTGCCCATTTTATTTTAAAAGCCAGATATGACTCATTTAATTGGATAGAGTGCAAATGAGATGGAACATCATTTGCAGGAAATAAAATTTCATGCTAAGTTGTATTGTACATATCATGACCCTATCATAAAATTGTTACTTGCTAACTGGTGCCCAAGCCAATTTGCACTTTATTGCTACTAAGAACAAGACCTGTAGCAAAATAATACCTTTTCCTTTCACTTTCCAAAAAATGTAAGCACTGATATGCATTATGACACTATTTGATTGCATTGATAAATAATGAAAGAATTAATTAAATTTCAAACAATGGAGCAGAGAGAAGGATGAATATTGTTTGACCTCAGTAAATGGCAAATTCCTATATAGGCTGCAATTCCAAGTTGCTGTGCCCAGTATTTGCAGCAGATGGTACAGATGTTGCAGACTCCTTGTTCTCACCAGAATTCATCTGTTGAACTGGTGGCGGATTAGTAACGGTTTCAGAAGAATCGTGTGATAGATGGCTCCTCATCTCCCGATGTTCCTGACATATGGCACACCAATGCAGGCAGCAATGCACCAGGCAGGGATCACAAGGTGAATTCTGAAAACAACAGAATGGATCATTAAGGCGAATACTTATGATGAATCTTTAGATTTGGTTAATAATTTTCAACTAGTAAGTTTAAAAAGACTGCCCTATAAGCAAATTGGAGAGGATCTTTTTTGAAAAAAAAATTGAAATTGAATAAATTATATATAATAATTCAAGCTCGTAGTGGTCCCTATGATAAATTAACCATTGATAACTGAAGTGATCTATTCCACAGGTCAATATATATATATATATATATTATTTGGTCTGTAATTTTAATCTGATAGTTAAATAGATGTGTTGTAGCATTGGGAATTAATTACATTCTTTTATCCTCATACTGAACTCCCCACTGTTGATATGGAGACCCCGAACAGAGTTGTTATATTAGGCCCCCCATCTGCAAATATCATGAGGAAACAGATCTGACTCTACAATATTTGTTATTTCCACACACATTTCTTAAACTAGAAATATTTTAACACTGTACAAGCATTTCTACGTAAGTAACATTGAAAATGATTACTGACATCAATTTCATTTATACACTCTAAAATTGGGACAACAAAGGAACCCTAAGAACGAACACTGCAAATATCTAAGCATGACGTTAATAGAAGATTTATAAGTTAATAATGCATAAGGCTTCTACAATTTCAGAAGTGTAAAAGGATTCAAACTATAAATAAATGGTAAAAGTAACAAAGATGCAAACCATTTCAAAATCAATACACATTTTTATACTAGTTGCACCACTTAAACAGATTCCTGGAAACTTGTATTGTTCAGGAAGACATAACCAAAGTACCAATAGAAGAGAATAAAATCACCTTGAGATGATATTTCTTCTGTAAAGATTGCCGAAATAGACCAGTATAAATGCCACACATCCACCACATGAAAAGCAGGCTTTCAACAATGAGAAATGATGTGTCAGGATCAATACCATTGATAAATGCTGTTGCAGCTGCAACTGCCATTCCTCCTTCTACACACATAGCGTGGCAAACACAAGCATTCGTCCAAGGAATGTCATCTCTCATTGCTTCAACATTACGCCCAAATAGAACACATGGGCAGAATAATCCAGTCCAGCCTGCAAGGCAAGCATCATTATTGTACAGGAGATGATGCATCATTCTGGAAAAACTCTCCAGGACAAGGAGACAATATATAGACAGTTAAATTCTTGCAGCTCTCCAGATCTAGTACACTGAAGTTTACAGTCATACACGAGGGAAGACATCAATCCTGTGAAAAAAACCTTAAACAGCTACTGGAGTTTCAACATATTAACATAGAAAATTTTGGTCATTTTCCTTTCTTCATTCCATATAAAAAGATATTTTCTAGAGAGCAAACAAATCTTAGGCTATCACAAGCAATGTACACTTTTCTACGCAAATCTCACTCGTAACCCTTATATTTCTACATATAATGCTGAGATGTTATCTCCAGCAGCAGCACCACCACCAACCCAAAAAACCAAAAACAACAGAAAAAGCAAAACATGTTTATAACGCAGAAGGTGATAGTTGCATGATGATTGAGCGTAATATGCTAAGACTGGAAACCTAAGCATTTTTCTTCTTTTCCTATTACAGTCCTACTGTCAAGTATTTTGTCCTGTTGCATATAGTACCATCTTCGTGTGCATATCACATAAATTCTTGCTCTTAGCAAATTGGAGCATTTTACACTTCTTTAGCTTGCCAGTGCTTTTCAAAACCTTTCTTCAGAATTTGCACTGCTTATCTAGTTTACAAGTTACATGGAAAGAAAATAAATCCCAAGAGAAGAATGTAACATCTATATATACGAGACAACTTTTTTATAAAAAAGCATATGGAATCTTACAACTTTCAGCATCTTCTACACAACCACAGATTCCAGTTGTCCAATCTTCATCTGCTGGGGGTTCATAACTTTCAGGAAGGACTTGTCCACATTCTTGGCACCTATGAACGTTTAACTGTTGAAAATAATCTTCATCAGCAAAGAAAATATAATAATAACAATAATAATACAACAAAGTAAACTGGCAAAGTTCTTAGCTAATAGCCTTCTCACAAATTGATCCACTTTTGGTCCACATTAAATAAGCAACATATGCTTTCAATCCCATGGAAAAGAGTTACCCTACTCTCACTATTTACTTCTATTAATGTCCTTTCTCAATTCATGACATAGTTTGAACCTGGTGTTGTCTCATTTTTACTGCTTGCTTAACAAACAAATTAAGGAATTGAATAGTCACTATAATTCAAAACTTGAGTATTTTAGATCACTACCTTCACCACTGATGGAGAAGGTAAATAGATGTTTTTATCTTGTCAGAATCCTTTAGTTTTATCTGAACTAGGTTAGTTTTATTTAAATTAGGATATTTAGATTGTCTTTTGAATGAACTTGTTTGGATTTATCCTAATATCCTATCTTATCTAGTATTTAGAATATTTTAAATTTGAATATGGTTCATTTTATCTTCTAGAATCACAAAAGTTTTGATCAACTAAGACCAGGGTTCTATAAATAGCCCTAGGATTATTCATTTGTAGACCTTTTTGATAAATTGAATAATGTAAAAAATCTGGTGCTCATTGTCTCCCTCAAAATACCTTAAACTAAATTTCTTCAAATCCCAATATACTGAATTCAGTGCTTTGATATATGCATCATTCATAAATTGTCAAACATGCTTTGGTTTCTTCAAACATCAGAAGCAAAAAAAGTTCCAATAAATCCTGTGATAGAAAATTGATTCTCTGCTGGCTTTTCAGTTTGCTGCTTGCTTTTTTCATGTATTTTCTTTTACAAGCTCCTAAAAATCATATATGTGCATGCTCGAAATCTTTATTCCATGTATGGCTTGCTAAGACTGTAAGCAACAATGTGCTCTTGAAAAATGCCTTGAAAAACCAGGGTCTCTGCTTTATCATGGAAAGTACATTGCATGAATATAAAGATATTTAAATCAATAAGAAGTTGCACTAATCATATTATAAGCCACAAAATTCTGTGACTCATTTCTCAAATTTTATGTGATGCATGTTAAACATATAGGTATTTATTATTTCATAATAAACCAATGGCAAAATTAGGTATAGAAATGATAAAAATGTAAACCAAAGACCCAACGATACAACAAAGAAGAAGATATGTATCTATTCATGCAACACATATGTATGACTCTCTCTGTGTGTGTATCTGTGTATGTAAGTATGGGGTGTGTGTGGGGGCGTGGGGGGGGGGGGGAGAGAGAGAGAGAGAGAGAGAGAGTCTTTATCTCTTGTATGGAAGGCCAGAACTTAAGCGGCACGTACTTCTCTTAGAAATCTAATAGAGAAACAGGAGCCTCATTTTATTGCACAACCTTCACTTTCTTTCTTTGTCCCCCCCCCCCCCCCCAAAAGACAATAAAATCTATATGAAACTACATTTAACCATTAGAGTACTATCATATGTTGAATTTGAAGTAATGCATGTGAAACGGTAAAAAACTGTAAACCAAAGACCCAACAATATGGAAATTCTTGATCTCCCAGAGAAGTGAAACAAACAAATGAAGGACGGAGAGGAAACCCACATTCAAATGTCAATACCCAAATCGGATTCGCATTGAGATCACGACTTAACAACAACTGATATGTCATGAGCAGGAAACAGAGAAAGGATAACTAACCGATGGAACCTCAACGGCTTGATTAAGCTCGCCGGGAGTGATATCCTGCAATTGCCCTCGATCCTTCGTCAACTTAACGTACCTCGATTGTCCCTCTGCCATCTTCTACGGCCACTGCAAGGAAAAAACCGAATTTATGAGAATGAGTGAAGAGGGAAAGCGAATCAGAGGGAAAACGAAGGAAGCAGGGAGGGGAAAAAACGTGGAGCGACAAAATGTTGGTGACATTGGGCAAACCTGAAAGGAAAACAAAGTCGTAATCGAAATCTGGATCCGTTGGTTTCAGAGAGAACGTAATGTTACATCTCTGATCACGAATTGATTGATTCTGTCTCTCGCTTTTCCACTCCTTTCTGCGGGAATGTTTCATACAGTTATTGTCAATTGCTTTCAGTTGAAGAAAACACATGCGCTCTTTTTGTGTTGTTTTGCTCTTTTTTATACTCCGTTTTGCTTGGGTTCAATGAGAAATTAGTTCTGATAAAAAAAAAACTGAGAAATTAGTTGAAATTATTTCCAAAATACCAAAAAATAGAGTATTTAAAATTAGTTGATATTTTTTTGAGTGGTTTTCTTTGGCTTCAGCTATTGGTGTTTGTAACTAATTTTTTTTGTGATTAATAAAATGGACTTATTTTTGGCAAAAAAAAAGGTGATATTTTCAAAATTATTTAATTTTTTAAAAATATTTTAATTAAATACTCCTTTTCTCTTCCTTCATCTCCCCTGCAAATTTATTAATCAATGAGTTAAGTTGTATTCACATTCTTAAATATTTTTCAGATACATTTATTGTTTAAAAATATTTTGTAATATATTCAGTAAATTATTTTCTACACGTTTAATATACTAAATTATATTTTAATGCATCTAGCATTTTGAAATTTTTTTTAGGTGGGTTTAAAATTCTAAACTACTACTATTTTTTTTGGTGCACTCTAAATTAAGTAAAAAATTATACTAAACATCCATTAAGGTGTTCAATGCACATTAATTTTTTTTTCATGATTATTAATTATTTTATAATTTTAATGATTATCTAAATAGTATAGTTTCACTGGCCAAAAAACATAGTATAGCTTAAAACTTTTTTATGAAAACAAAATCCATAAAGCAAAATTCTCTTCCCTTTGTGACAAAACAGGACACGTGGACATTGTCGGGACAACATTCGCACGGGATGCTATTTCGCTCGGTACGTTAAGCCATTCCCTCGCAAAGTTGTTTCTTACATTCTTTCAAACTTCGCTCCTCTCTGGAACATCAACTCACTCCCGCACTCACCGCACCGAGTTTGAGATTTTGCTACTCACTGGTTCTTCAAGTACTTGAGTATGAACTATCAACAGAGACTCCAAGTTGCGGCGAAAATCATACTTGAACATGACGCACGCGACGCCGACACGCCGCTTAACGTCGAAGAGCTTGGGATCAAGGCGACCCTTAAACCCCACCAGGCGGAGGGAGTTTCGTGGCTCATAAGAAGATATAAACTTGGCGTCAACGTTCTCCTCGGTGAGATTTCATCTCTATTCTCTATTTTTGTGTTGGGGATTCTCTGAAGGTCTTTAGACTAGGAATTGGGATGTTTTGGTTTGAGGAGTTTCTCTTTTGAAATGTTGTATTATTCAAGAGCGAATGAAAGATATGGTTTTAATGTTGTATTCTTTTCTTCCAATTAATTTTCCAAGAAGTATGCTTCGCAGTGTGGTGGTAAGTATGCACTATTTTTTTTGGGGAAGTCAATATGAATATATGAATACTTATTCTTTAATGTACATCTGTACTATTCACGGCCGGAAAAAAAAAAAAAGAGCAAACATTTGGATAGTTATACATTAGTGTGTGTACTTTTCCGGTGATAAATATCGATTAGTAAAACTCTGTTCAAAATTGTTGCTTAGTTTTGTCTATTATTTTATTTCCATTTCTTGTAAATGAGGAAAAGAAACTATTTGGTGGACCAGTCTGTTGACTTATTACGCTGGCCTTTGAAGCATTGACTATATCAATTGGCTAATTTAATTTTAGATGCAGTAGATACTTTTCCCCATTAAGGAAATAAATTAATCATGTTAGTGACCAAAATGCCAACTTTATTTGCAGGGGATGAGGTATTCTTCCTTCAATATAATGTCTGAGAATAATCAGTTATTGGAAAGGGAAAATATCTGGTATCTGATTGGTCTAACAATTACCAGAAATTCACCCTGTTCAAGGTGAATTTTCTGGCTGTTCAGTCTTTGCTGTTGTTATCCTGTAAAATCAACAGATACCCAATAGAGGAGAAACTTAATGCTTCATGAAATTCTTTAAACGCTACTAAAACCTGCTGGTGGGAAACCATAAAAACTCTCCATTTCATTGAGTGAATTATTGGAGGGCGTTCAGAGAACTCAATACGGATTTTACTCTTCTAGCTGAATCATGGAAAGGTTTTGCACTGCCTTGTTAAAGGCAGCGAAAGCTATAAATCAGTTTTTCTGCTTTAGATGGTAACGTAGAAATTCCATGAAGAAACAATCAAAGATAAGGGGAAAGTGGTACTATGATGTTGAAAATTAACCTTGATATTCAACTCAAGAAAACACTGAAGCTGTTAAGCAGATCGAATCTTCAAGAAGAGGATTACATATTCTTCATCACTATTTTTATTGGATTGTTTTACTTTATTGCTATATAATTTTTGGGCGTGTCAAGAAAACTGCCTATAGTTGCCGTGAGGAGACCTTGTGATGTAGAATATAAAGATCAACAATAAATGAAACTTGGTAATTCTATTTTCTTATATAATAATATTGCAGATAATTTTCTATGAATGACTGTAGGTCTGTTTATAGCAATTCTAATTAGAAAGAATCTAGTGTAACTCAAGTGCTCATTGGAACTCTAAATAAATGAATGATTCTAAACAATAAATTAACCCTAATTCCTAACTGGAAACCAAAATCTTAATCACAAAATAATAAAAGTAACAATCTTTTGCTCAATGATTCTGCGCTACCTTGCATTATCATTGGTTTGGGGAAGGAGTTGTGTCTGTGTCCAACACATGTGGGACTGTTGTATTAGACAAGATATGACACTTTGACAATTTAAATTACTGTGGATACTTTTTCTTTGGTCTTATTGTGTCTGTGTTGGTGTGGCCATGTATAAACTAACACAACAAAAACAACAATAATAATGAGAAGCCTTATCCCACTAGGCACTGTTGGCTACATAGATCGCACGGTGCTATTATGTTCTATCAACAACCAAATCTTTCGATAGATTGTTAACCACAAGATATCGTTTAATCACTTCATTGAGCATTCTCCTCAGGTTTCCTTTGTCCCTTTTGAAAGGACTTCAAACTGTCTGATTTACCCTTCTCACTGACAGATGCCTATATTACCTAAAACGATGTTAAACCATTTTCTCTTCGATAGGCGCCATGTTTACTTTTCCTTTGATGTTATCATTTTGGATCTTTTTGTGTATGACAACATATTCATCTCAACATTCTCATATCTGTTACCCCAACTTTATGTTCTTGTTTTCTTTTTAGAGCCCAACATTCACTACCATATAACATAGCTGTTCTTTTAGCAGTTCAATCAATTTTCCTTTAAGCTTATCAAGTACCTTCTTATTAGAAATAACTCTAGTAGCATTTTTCCACTCGAACCACCTAGCTTGTATATCATGTTCCGTTTGCGGGACTGGTTGTATAAGTTTATTGTGAGGTATTTTTATATGATTGTTATCGTATTATGGTATGTATAAAAGAGGAGTAAGATTGGCCCTAGTTAAGAATTTTGTACAAGGAATTTTATAAAAGCTAAAGAGGAAAAAAGAAAAAAAAAATTCTTCCTCTGGTTTATTTATCTATCTAAGGTGCCTTAGTTGTGGCATGAGTAGACTCTACCAAGAGTAGCAACTGTCATTGGCACCATAATCACTTCTAGAATTGTTACCACTATCATCAGCATTTGCACCACTGCCACTTAATGCTGTTTCTATAACCACCATTTTTAATTAGTAGGATAATATCACTTTTCTGCATAATGGTTTTGTGAGTAAAAACTGTATATTCTCTTATATCACAGCAAGCTGAACATATGCAGGGATTTATAGGTAATAAAAAATAATAAAGAACCTAGCTGACTATGTTACAATTGGAAGAATCAAACAATAAATAATAAAACAATATCGAATAAAATCTTTTTATTTGAATCCGATGATTATCAGGATTTCCATACTCCCCCTCAAGTTGGATTATAGATGTCAATCATGTCCAACTTGCGAACGAATTCTTTAAAAAACTTCTTTATGTAGGCCCTTTGTAAAGATGTCTGCATTTTGGCTCCAAGCTGGCATATGTGTAAGCTTGACTAGTTCTCCATCAATCTTTTCCCTAATGAAGTGTTTGTCAACTTCAATATGCTTAGTTCTGTCATGTTGAACATGGTTGTGGGAGAGATTGATGGCTGCCATGCTGTCTGTGTATAGCTTTATTGGTAGTTTTATTTCAATTTTTAATTCCTCGAAGACTCTCTTTACTGAAAGTAGTTCGCATATACCGTGAACAACTGCTCTATAATCTGATTTTGCACTGCTTCTTGATACCACATTCTGTTTCTTGCTTCTTCATGTTACTAGGCTTCCCAATATGTATGTGCAGTAACTAGATGTGGATCTTCTGTCTTCATAAGCACCAGCATAGTCTACATCAGTAGAGATTTCTATGTTTGCCTTTTCTGATACAAGATGCCTTTGCTTGGAGTGCCCTTTAGATATTTTAGGATTTTATATACTGCCTTGAGGTGTTTTTTTCCGGGAGCTTGAGAGTGTTGAGCGGCCACACATACTACAAATGCGATGTCAAGTTTAGTATGAGAAAGATAGATGAGTTTCCTAACAAGTCTTTGATATCTGTCTTTGTCAACATCGTTGCCTTCACTCTTCTCTTCATCCTCCTCTTCTTCTTCTTCTTCACTTTCTTCTTCATCTTTGCTTTTTCTTTCATTCTTTTTCTTCTTCTTCTTACGTTTTGTTGAAACTTTAATTGGTGTGGAGCTAGGCTTACAGCCCAACATCCCTGTTTCCCTTAGAAGATCAAGCACATATTTTCTCTAAGAGATCTAGATCCCTTTTTTGGACTGGGCCACCTCCATTCCTAGGAAGTACTTCATCTCTCCTAGGTTTTTTACTTGGAATTCTTTTGCCATTGTAGCTTTTATTCTCTCCATTTCTTCATAGTTATCTCCTGAGAACTATATTATCTACATAGACACTTAAGATGGTTTTTTTAGCTCCTCGATGTTTGAAGAATAGTGTGTGGTCACTTTGCCCCTGGTTATAGCCTTCAACTTTAAGAACCTGTGTGAATTGTGGTGATTGTTTTAGGCCATAAAGTGATTTCTTTAGTTTACACACCAAGTTTGGTTTTTTGGTTGGGAACCTAGGAGGTGGTATCATATATACTTCTTTTAGGTCACTGTTTACGCATTCTCTACATCTTAGTAGATATGGCAACTAGATTTGCCACCAAGGACATCAAGATTCTCATAGTGTTGAACTTGGCTATTAGGGCAAAGGTTTTTGTATAATCTATGCCACATATCTGAGAGAATCCTTTCGACACAGGTCTTGCCTTGTATTCATCTACTGTTCCATCAGCTTTGTATTTTACCATGAACACCCATTTGCGCCCCACGACTTTCTTTCCTTGTGGTAGAGCTACTTCTTCCTAAGTGCCATTTCTTTTGAGTGCATCTATTTCCTCTATAATAGCCTTTTTCTAGCTTGGAGACTTGAGAGCTTCCTTAACACTAGTTGGAGTCTTTATGTTGTTTAGATTGTTGGTGAATCTGGATATCGAGGAGAAAGAGCTTTGAAGGAGATGTGTTTCCCCATTGGGTGTTGTGCGCAGCTTTGAGGTTTTTTTCTTTGTGCTAGAGGAAGATCCAAGTCAGATACTGTTTTACATGTAGGATCTACATTACCTGTTTGATCATCGACACTAACAGTATAAAATTCTTCAGTTATAGGAACTGTCATCTATTCTGATTCATGGTGTGCCTCAGGAGTTGGTGGCTTGTCTTTACTTTTTTGCCTCCTTGTGCACAGTGCACACCCTCTTAGTGTCTTTTTTGGTTTGTTTCTCCTCTTCGTTAGGATTTTGCTCAATTTCAAGAGTAATAGGAGGTTCATACTCCACAAAGTAATGGGGTTCGATCATGTCCTCTAGAGGCTAAAGCATTTTCCGAAGGCTTTAATTCATCCCAACTCTCCCCCTGAATTGAAGGGTGGGAGTAAAATGGTTCAAACCTGTGAAAAGTGACATCAACTTACATTGAGGCGTTTTGTAAGAGGGTTATAACATTTGTACCCTTTGTGAGAAGCAGAATAGCCTAGAAAATGCATCTATTAGCGCGAGGCTCAAGTTTCCCTTGGATATAAAGGTGAACAAAGACAGAACACTCAAAAACTTTTAGAGGAAGATTATTATGAGGATAAGAAACATAGTGAGTCTTGTGAAGGACCTCAAGAGGGTTTTTAAAGGAGAGAATTCTACTTGGCATTCTATTGATAAGAAAAGTTGCAACGAGAATGGCATCTCTCCATTAATACTTTGGGACATTATGAGTGAGAAGAAGGGCATGGGTAACTTATGAAATGTGTTAATTTTTTCGTTCTTTAATCCCATTTTGTTGGGGGCTATGAGGACAAGAACTTTTATGAATAATACCATTTTCTTGGAAAAAAGTAGTAAAATTGTTATTAATATACTTGTTGCCAGTATGAAAATTTTTTTATGGAAGTATTAAACTAATTTTTTATCATTCGATAGAAGGTTACAAAAGTAGAATAAAATTCAGGTTTTTCTTTAAGTAAATAAGTCTACCAAACTCGAGTATGATCATCAATAAAAGTAATAAACCATTTGTGAAAGGTACAGTTAGCAATTTAACTAGGCCTCTCCATAAATCACTATGGATAGTAGTAAAAGGAGAAGAGGGTTAATGAATATTTCGAAGGAAAACAGTGCGGTGATGCTTGGCAAATTCACAAACTACTCCATCCCTTATTATAAGATCCTTTTAACTAAATTATACAGTTTAAGAAAACAGTTAAAATTAGTTAAAAGCAATTAATATGTAGCAAATACAGTTTTTTTTCTTCCAAATATACTCCTATATATAAATGGATAAATGCGAGAGAGTAATAGTGAGATAAATGAAGAAAAAGAATGTATTAAACACATTAAATTAGGGGTAAATTAGGTAATGCTGCTTTAAATGCTCAGACAAACTCAAAGAGGGTCTTATAAAAAGGGACAAACTCATTCAAAAAATTGGATCTCATAATAAGGGACGGAGGGAGTACTTCACAAGAAAGTTCAGAAACATTTTTATTCGGAAAACTAGAAGGAAACATTTGAGTTGAATACTAGGATGGCTCAGGCATTTATGCCAAAAGAAAATGTTACTATTCCCCAGGAGAGAAACTTTATTGCAAACACTGGTGGTGTTTGAAATGGAGGCTTCATCAAAGTAATATAGGCCATCAAATTCTTTAGCACTTCCAATCATCTTCCCTATTGACAGGTCCTGGATTAAGCAATGAGTATCATAAAAATTAGCATGACATTTTTCAGATTTGGTAATTTTGTGCACAGATATTAAGTTGCACTTTAATCTAGGGACATGAAAGACAACTTGAAGAATTATATGCTTCAATATTCGGATATCCCCCATACCAGTTACAGTTGATAATGATGCATCAGTAATTTTACCTTTAAGAGTGCCATCGCACGGGGTCTAGGATATAAACAAACCACTATTATCAGTCATTTGGTTAGATGCACCAAAATCTGTTATCCAAGACCTGCTTGTACATAGGCTTTGAATTGCATTCAAAGCATGCAAAAAATTACCTTTTTGTACCAGTGTGACAGTAGGTTGAGTGCGTGATGGCTAACTAGAAGATTACAGGTTGCTAAGCATCTCCATTAGCTTAGAGAGCTGGTCATTGGATGCAGCAGAGGATGTGGTAGGTTTTTCTTCATTCCGTTCTGTTCCAACCATGTAGCCACGTCCTTTGCCTCCTTTTGGTTTCCAATTTGCAGGTTTTGTCATGTATATCCCAACATGTCTCCTTTGTATGGCTACTCTTCTTGCAATGCTCATAGATGGGTTTGGTTCTGGGACCTTTATTGTTTGCACTGTTGCGAGAAATTAGAGCAGAGGATTCATGATTGTTGCTTGCCGCAATAGGGGTTGGTATCATGACTCTACAGCATGAATCGTCCCTCCTTACTTCTGCAAATGCCTCCTGGACAGTAGGCAAAGGAACACGACTCAAGAGGCATCCTTTAAAGGCATCAAGCTCTAGATTAACACTTGCAAGAAATTCAAAGAGGTGTTCTTTTCTACTTTCTTCTTGTACAGTGCGGCATCTTCAGAGCATTTCCATGTACCTTCATTATGGAGATCACAGAGTTGACATGGTTAAATACTAATCATTTAAGGTTTGTGTACCTTGCTTTGTTTGCCACAATTTGGTTCTAATTTCGAAGACCTGGGAGACATTTTCTCCATCAGAATATGCCTTTCTCATAATGTTTCATATCTCGCATTCAGTGGGAAGGAACATGAAGCTCAATTTAATGGCTAGCATCATTGCGTTAATGAGCCAAGAGGAGACCATCGAATTTTTAGTTTTCTAGAGTCGCATAGCTTGAGAGTTGGTGGATGACGGATTGGTAGTTTCGCTAGTGAGGTAGCCTAGCTTGCCTTGACCTTCAACAGTGAGCCTCACGGACTGAGCCCACTCATGGTAATTGTCACCAGTCAACTTCTTCAGAACAATGAGGATGGTATTTCCACCAAGACCTGGTGGATGGCGTGAAAGCGCGGAGCTCTTTGGCTCCATAGTTGACTTGGTCGACTTTGTCTTGTTAGGAGAAAGTGACATGAGGTTGCACAGTAATTATCCGAGAGGTACTCAATGTTCTGATACCATATGAGTAAAAATTGTATATTCTCTTGTATCACAGCAAGTCAAACATGTATATGGATTTATAGGGTTTGTATTGTATCTGTCCTAGGAAACGAATCAATGGGTAATAGAAAATAATAAAGAACCTACCTGACTATATCACAACAGGAAGAATCGAACAATAGATAATAAAACAACATCAAATAAAATCTTTTTATTTGAACCCCATGATTATCGGGATTTCCACAGGTTTCTTTATCTGAATATACGAATTTTAATTTTATCCAACCTTATAAGACTCATAGAGAAACTCATAATTATGTTATACCACCTGGTACATTATAATTTATGAGTTAATGCAACTAATGGTAGCAAAAATGCTTATATGCTAGATGGCTCAAATAATACTGTTTAGTATTACTTATACTGTTGGTGGGTGCAATTTTGCTGAGCATCCTTGAAATCATGTTTATCGTTACGATTTAAGGATGAGCAGAAACCAACGGCTCCTCCCATATTTTGGCTCCATTGGTTCTCTTTCTTTTCCATTATTTCTTTTTTGGTGCTCAATATTCGTTTTTGTTTTTTATTCCTTTCTGTTTAGTTTCTTTCCTGTTATCTATCTTTCTAAAGACAATTCCAGAAACTGGGCTGTTGCTATGTTTCCCTGTAATATCTTATTCTTTTCCTCTTATAATATACACAAGTTATTTTTGTACTCCTGTGTTCCTTACTCTGTTATTTTCTTGCATATGCCTTAACATTATCTGATATTGTGAAACTCAGAGGTAAAGAGGATGGGAGAATGTGTTGGATTATGTGCCTATACACATATATCTTATTTATAAGTGAAAGAAAAAAAAGAATATATAAGTACAACGGTGGTACAAGAGAGTACCAAAACAAGTACAATGAATCTATACACAATATAACACTATGCTCATTGCAATATAACACTATGCTCATTGCAATGGTACTTTACTACTTAGAGAGATATGAATGGCATGCCATTTCCAAATGAGATATGATGGATAAACAATCTAGTTCTTATATATTGGCATAGAAAATAAGGTTTTTAACTTGTTTTGGAAGAAATTTATTGGATGATTCTAAAGAATTATTTCTTTTTTCTCTTCCTGTTGCTTGAATGAAAGTGATCATGAGTTGGGTATAGGTTGTCCTAATTAGAAGGATATGATATATAGGATCCTAGGTTTAGGGTTTTTATTTATCCTATATTAATACCTAATGTACACAGCAGTATAGAGGCGGACTACACCTCTGTATCCTTCAGAATCATTAAGCCTAATTGCCAAAGTGTGAGTTTAAATTAATAATTAAAATATTACTTTTTTTTTATTTCATCCTATATCTTATAGTCCAAATTGGTAGAGGAATGCAAACTTTTCATTTTGAAAATTCATATGGCTTTTTTTTTTTTTTTTGGGTTCTATTGCTGTTTTATTTTATCGCATTTGTCACATTTGCTGAGCTCGGTTACATTGATTCTTAAACATTCAGTTGGTGACATGCTTGATTTTTGTATTTTTCCTGACCTTTCGGGGTGGAGCAGATGCATGAAAACCACATTTTTTAAATAATTTATATATATATATATTTCTGTGACTGCATGTTACTCACTGGCAGATGGGACTGGGCAAGACATTGCAAGCTATCTCCTTACTGAGCTATTTAAAAGAGTACCAGTTGTCCGTTGGACCATTTTGTGAGTGAAGAAACCTTTATTTGGTTTGAAAAGCTTAAATTCTTCTGCAATGTACTTTTGCTTTTTCTTATCTTCATTTACCTTTTGCAGTGGTTTTATGTCCTCTAAGTGTAACAGATGGTTGGGTTTCGGAGATAGTTAAATTTTCACCCAAACTAAAAGTAATTAAATATGTTGGAGGGAAAGAATATAGGTGCAGCCTACGCAGGAATATTCATGAATATGTAAAGGGACAGTTGACAACAGTCAATGTAAGGGCAGAAACTCGTTCATTTGTATGTTTACTGAAGTTTTTTTAATGTTTTTTGGGGCAAAGGTGTAGAATTCTCATTGTATTTTGTTTATGCCTATTGGTTATTTTTTTCAACTGAATTCATTGCCAGGTCTTGTTACCTTTCGACGTCCTATTAACAACTTATGATATAGCACTGATCGATCAGGATTTTCTTTCTCAAATACCATGGCAGTATGCAATTATTGATGAAGCTCAAAGACTTAAAAACCCTTCAAGTGTAAGTTGAAGACATTATATGTGTAGTATTTTGTTAAATTCATTCTTCTGTTTGTTGAACTTGTTTAATTATAAGTCAGTTTTTTGATGCAGTAATCGTTGTCTTTTTTCCAATAAGTATTTAGCATCACCCTTACTGGTTATGGCTAAGCAAACTTACCTGTATGTTGAATAGTTTTCCTTTAAAATTTTTTATTCTTGAAATGTTGAGTTTGTAATTAAATTGAAAAAACTGCAAACTTTAGAGAAGAGATAAACCATTCCATGGTAGTTGGTAATAAGCGTTGATATGATATATCTAAGATGTACTTTAGATGTTACATATCTCACTTGATCAACCTTTTTTGGCCCACTAGTTGTTTATATAGTACCTATTGGCTGGTTGATAAAAATTAGACAATGTCATCCTGAAGACTTGAAAGCAACATTTAATGATCCCTTGCTAAGATCGTTGGTGCTTGCTTCTGAAGTGCTGGCTTTTTAACAGGTTTTATATAATGTTCTCAAAGACCACTATGTCATGCCAAGACGGTTGTTGATGACTGGTACTCCTATTCAGAACAACCTTTCTGAACTGTGGGCGTTGATGTATTTTTGTATGCCTTCTGTCTTCGGTACACTAGACCAGTTCCTTTCCACATTCAAGGACATCAGCGATCCTACATCAGGTTGTTATTGTGTGTATTTTGACCTTGTATCATTGAGTTCCAAAGATTTTTCAGTATTGCAGAAAAGTGCTGCATACTTCTAGTAGCTATCTGCGATATGAATGCTTTATTGGATATTGACCTTGATATGTCTCTTCTTCTAAAATCGATGGTCTGTAGATTTTAAGGGAATTATAATTATAATATTTTAGTGTTAAATATGCTCCGAATTTTGCATTTATTAGGAAAAAAAATATTAGGAGATCCTTATCATCAGTTGGAAGACTTTTCATCCAATTGATGGTGTAAAAGTAGCTTAACTAGCACGAAACAAGATTGACATGTCATGATGGTCTTGTTCTGACTATTGCAGTTGTTGTTTCTAAACAGTTCAAAATGCAGTGCAGGTAAAGGAGCAACTTAAAATACTGAAAAGTATATTAGGAGCTTTTATGCTTCGACGGACCAAGTCAAAGCTTATAGAGAGTGGAACTCTCGTGCTACCATCTCTCACTGAGATAACTGTGTATGTTAAATTTTGAATTATATGGCTAGTCGTGCTTTATTTTTCAACAAGTGATTACTAGAATTTCCAAGCTGTCACTTTCGAATACTGAAATGTTTGACAGTATGGCACCCCTAGTTGGCCTGCAAAAAAAGGTCTACATGTCAATTTTGAGGAAGGAGCTTCCTAAGTTACTTGCCCTGTCTTCTGGAACTTCAAATCATCAGTCTCTGCAGAATATTGTAAGCCAAGCATTCAAGCTCTTCTTTTGCTCTGTTTTCTGCAGGGTTAGAGCCATTTCTGTTGTTCCATTTGTTATCCGAGCAGATGCCAAATTGAGTTTAGATGTTGTAATTGTTTAGCTTAACAGAATTGTAAGCAGTAAATTTTTTACAGCCTTGTTTTCCTGCTTTAGAGATTGGTTAAAAGTAGTCGCATTTATTTGCTTTAGAGATTGATTTCCTTTTGTTTTCTGGAAAGAATAATCATATTACAAACTCTCAATTTCTTAATTTAAAAATGTCAATTTTTTTTTTTGCAAGAGTACCCAAAAAAAAAAAAAAAGATTTTACTTACATGTTGTCTGGTTTAGAGGAAGAGAGAAGAAAAAAGCTAATAATAAGTTGATTGGTATATTATTATCGAATTTGATTTTCTTTTGTTTTCTGAAAAGAATAATCATATTACAATATCTTAATTTCATAATTTAAAGGTTCCCTTCCGACAACTGGTGGCCAATCACCAATACTGAAGCACTGGTTGCTGGTGCGCGAGCTTCAATGCTGACCATTGGCGAGCTGGCTATTGACTGGAGAAATATGTTGGATTAGTGGTGAATATAGGATTTGATCCCCAACCATTGCATCCTAAAAATGGTGTCGGCAGGAGGCTGTGGTGCCAGCGATTGGCCACTGTTGTTAGGAACTTTTTATTTTTTTGAAAAAAAAAGGGGCATTTATGTATTTTTGCCTGAATTTTAAAATAAGAGTCCTTGATTTTTTGCATTGCCTTTAGGACTTGATTTTTATATAGGGCGTGCAGATAATATTTATTTGATTAAATTATCATTTTATGCCTGGGTTAATGCTATGAACCTAGTAGGGCTTATAATACACCTGTTAATATTGAACTTGTCATAATTTATTCAGTTAAAGATTGGAGGCACCCAGATTGGTTTCATTGTGGCCTCAAAAATAATCGCCTCAAGTGAGATATGTTTTATTTTGATAGTGAGTGAAGTGTCTTGTATTTCCAATTTAGTTCGGAAGTGGAACATATGAAAAGGTGGTTCAGATTTCTGTTATCATCACTAATTCTTTGTATTTAACACATTTATATTCTTCTATCACTATCTTGGGATTCTCCTATTAAATGTGGATACTAAATTAAATCCAAAGATTGTATGGTTGTTGGACATTAAGTCAAGTTAGAATTCAGAATGTACTGTGAACAGGCCTCAGAGCAGGGTGGGCCTTATACTTCCACAATGTTCAATATTGTGGTTATGATACGAGGTCTGCATGTATTTTTGTTAGATAGTTCTAGGTCCTTTTTATACTGGAATTACTGGATTCTTAAAATTATTCTTTGATATTATTATTGAATTTCCATATATGTATAAGGTGCATTCATTTGAATTTGATGGGTGCATGGTGGTGAACTTCTCTAATTCTTTCAAGCTCTTTCATTCGTCCTGGACAAAACTCTCTCGGAAACTCCAATTCTTGGATGAGTGAGGAGTTTTGTCCTTTTCAATTCTTATGATTAACTTCATCACAAGACTTGAGGGGGCTTCTTTATTGTTCAAGCCAGAAGGGATTTTCTCATGAGGAGGATGATAAGGTGTAATGAACCATTCTCACTTTAAGGGAGAGTTGGTTTCTTGACGTCATTATTCTGTTTATGTATTACACATGGCCTGAGGTGGAATTGTTATTTTTCTCTTTATTTTGCTTTATGGCAATGCCTTATTTTGGCTTTTACATTTAATTTTTACTGATTATTGACAAGGGAAAGAAAATATAATTTACTTTTGCAGGTGATACAGCTAAGGAAAGCATGTAGCCATCCTTATTTATTCCCAGGTATTGAGCCTGAGCCTTATGAAGAGGGTGAACATCTGGTTCAGGTAACTGGTAATTTCAATCTTATTACATGATAAAGAGGGGATTATCAGTATTTTCCCAACTTATTCTGGTTTTCACTCTTTGACCAATTGGTTGATTTCTCTTTGACCACCATGCTAAACTTTCTGTTTGCATTGCATTTCCCATTTGCTAATAGAAAGATAAGGACATAATAGAAATTGACCAAAAATAAAGAAAAAAGAGGTAATTTTTCCCCTGTAGTGACACTATATCGGGTGAATCCATGGGAAGTTTATATATGGTTATGAATTATTAATAATCTTTGTCAGGCATTTCTGACCAAAAATCGTTTATTCTTAAGTTCACTTCTGCATAATGTGGGTCCTTGTTACAAAGTGCATGAAAAGTCTGATATGTTGCTGAGGTATGTAGATGTCTGTCAGATAGAATGACAAATTTAAATATAATGACCCATATAATATAATACATAACCTGTCAAGCACATTTATCATAACCTGACAAATTAAAATATGATAGACATAGAACTTTATAATCAGGCAGGAACAAACTTAGTCTGAGTTTTTAAGATTTAGTTATGATTTTGGAAAGTTGGTCACAAAATCTGAAATTAGTCAAGTGAAAAGGAACCCAAGAGGATTTTCTATTTTCCAGGACTTTTATACTTCTGATCTCTAATTAGCTCTATGTGGAGCCTTAGATAGCTTTCGTTGCCAGATAATGGTTTCTAAAAGTAAGATTTTGCTTGTATCTATTCTTCATTCGATTCTGCTTGTTCACATAAGAAATTAGATCTCTTAAAATATTTCTTGCTTGCCACAATGTTATAAATTTTTGCTTGTCCAGGCCAGTGGTAAATTGTTGATCCTGGATCAGCTTCTTCAGAAGTTACATTATTCTGGACACCGTGTCCTTCTTTTTGCTCAAATGACCCAAACACTTGATATTTTGCAGGTCAGATCCCTACCAAATGCATAAAATTCCTTTACCTCTATCTGGTTAAACTTTTTTATTCATGCTCGTTGATTCTTGTAGGACTATCTGGAGTTACGAAAATATTCCTATGTGCGTCTTGATGGGTCAGTTAGGGCTGAGGAGCGCTTTGCTGCAATAAGAAGTTTCAGTGGCCCATCAGCTAATTCAGTTTTGAATTCTGAAGCAGACCAAAGTGGAGCCTTTGTCTTCCTGATCACTACAAGAGCTGGGGGGGTTGGCTTGAATCTAGTGGCTGCTGATACGGTTAAGTCTTATGAGCTTTAAGCTCCCCCCCCCCCCTCTTTTTCCCCCCTTTTCCAAATATGAAATCTTTCTTCAAATGCCTCCTCTTACATAATTCTTTGTATCAGGGTAGAAAGTGTGTATGTGTGTGCATGAGCACATTTGCACATGCTCTTGTGTGCATAGGTTTTTGTGCGTCTGTGCACAGACACATGCATGGTTGCATGGGTTCTTGTGTGAGTATATGTGCACATGTACGCATGCATGTGAGTGTATGTATTTTCTTATGCGAACTAACTCTCAATTTGGTTGGTGCAAAGGAAAGAGATACCTTTTTCTTTGCACGGAGATTGATATATCTAATATCTGCTATACATTTATTATCATTATTTAATTATAACTACTAACTACCTCTCGACCCAAAAATAATATAGCATTAGATCTATTAGTCTTTTTTATTTAAAAACTTTCATTCAAATTCTGTTAGTTCTGAGATCATTGCAAGCTTTGTAATTAATGATAGTTCTCTTATGTGCACTTGATTTGATGTCAATATTTTACGTGATACTGCCTCCAGTCCTTTTTATGAGATATAGTTTGGGCTTATCTGAACATCAAATGCATTTGTACCAATTTTACCCTAATTAATTGCAGTATCTTTTTCCCAACATTCTCTTTCATCTTTTTTCTCACTATTTCTCTCTCTCACTTACTCTCTTATAAATAAGGGCATATTTGGGAAAGGAAGTACATTTCTTATTTATTACTTTTAATTAATGTTAATAGATTTCTTAAACCATGCAATTTGGTTATTTGGATCTTGTAAAAAATGACCGGGGGAGTCTTAAGTTTTGGGTGTTGAGTTAGTTGAGCTGTTAAAATACTCCTTCTATTTTGTTGACTTTGCTGTTTGAGATGGTATGCAAACTACTGCTTCTGTTAACTGCCTTATGTGGTACAGCAGCTGTTGTCATAGAAGGCTTTAAATACAATTCACTATTTTCTGGAAAATGGAAGTGTTCCAGTTGATCCGTGGAATATTGCTAAATGATATCAGTCCATGGGATCCCATGTTTTTAACAGATTGACTGAAGTATTTTGAATACTAGAGATATATTGAGAATTTACTGTACTTGCATTTTGCAGGTCGTATTCTATGAGCAAGATTGGAATCCTCAAGTAGACAAGCAGGCATTGCAGCGAGCCCATCGGATTGGCCAGATGAACCATGTGTTGTGCATAAACCTTGTTACAGAAAGAACAGCGGAGGAGGTGTCTTTCTATTTTTCATTATATTTTCTTAACCTCTTGACAACAGAGGTGAATTTCCTATGTTTTAGAAATTGAATTTTTTTTCATGTAGGTAATTATGCGGAGGGCAGAGAAGAAATTGCAGCTTAGCCTCAATGTTATAGGTGATAGTATGCAGGAACATGAAGATGAACAAAAATCTGGAGTTGGGACTGGGGATTTAAAGTCCATCATATTTGGCCTCCACATGTTTGATCCTAATGAAAATAATGATGGAGAGCTTAGGGACATGAATTTGTCAGAAATTAATGCTATGACTGACAAGGTGATTGCAATGCGTGATGTACATATATCTGACAAGGATGACAGAAAATTTGAGATCAACCCTAGAAATCTTATAGAATCATATGATTCTAAGGAAGGAGCTTCTACTTCTTTTAACTCTGATCCTAGTCTTGATGAGGCTTCTTATCTTTCCTGGGTTAAAAAATTTGAGGAACTGTCAAAACCAAGCACTGACTCAATCATGGAGATGAGGAATAGAGGAATCTCAGATGAGGAAAAGCATCTAAAACTTGAGGCTGCAAAGAAGAAAGCGGAAGAAAAGAAGCTGGCTAAGTGGGAAGCTCTTGGATACCATTCATTGAATGTGAATGACCCTGTCATCCCTCCGGATGGTGGTAATCTATCGGATGCTGGATCTGTTCATTTTGTGTATGGAGATTGTACAGATCCATTGAACGTTTGTCCATCTGAACCTGCCATAATATTCAGGTCTACTTTCTTTTATAATTGCTACCCTGCAGATTATATTCTGTTTTAACAGGCTGTTAATTACTATAATGATTTTTAGTAATTAATCTTTTTTTTAAAAATAATATTATATTAATAATGTTCTTAGTTGCATGATATTTTTAATTATCTGATGGTAATTGGCTATGGCTTAGCTTTTGGTCTGTTCTACTGTTCCATTAAGGCTTTCTGAAATATCACATGCAGGATGTTGTTGCGTGTGTCTCACTTGATGTTTTAATTGTTTCTTTTATACAATCGTAGTGTTTCGTTTAGTTTATGTCTTAGCATTGAAGAGTAAGGTCAAAATGTATGAGTCCAAGAATTTAAGAGAACACAAGGCATTTGAGTTTCCCTTTGTTTTTTCACTCACTTGCAACTTTCAGCTTACTGTACTTTCTCTACCTTCTAAGTTTATTAACTTCTTAGCACTGAAATTAGGATCAATTGTTCATGGTCCGAGTATTTTGCCCAGAGTGTCATCATTTTTGGGCTTTTTTGCTGGCTTAATTGAGGATTTTACAGCTGTGTTGATACCTCTGGAAACTGGGGTCGTGGAGGAATGTTTAATGCACTGAACAAGCTGTCTTTGAGCATTGGTGATGCCTATGAACGGGCTTCTGCACATGGGGACTTGCATCTTGGGGATCTGCATCTTCTAAAGCTTGAAGGTCAGAACGTACACCATGTAATTTGTAAGATAGAATTGCAAGGTGACAATGAATTGCAAGCCTCTAAGGTGCTTCATGTTGGTTAAATATAGAGCCATTATCAGGCAGTCCTTGCTCCATCTACTTTAACAAGCAGAAATCGTCCCACTTGTTAATATATAATTGTCATTGGCAGATATCTCTTACCTGGGATCTTATTACCACTGCTTGTTTTTAGAACATGGGGACGTTTTAACTGAATTTTCAATTTCGTTGTCCCATTTACTGTGTCATTATACTTTTGATAGTTTTGTTGAGCAGTTGATCTGGTGAGTTGGTAAAATTAAGTCACCTTTGAAATGATTGATATTGACTGTTGAACTAGGATCAGAAATTGTACCACGACATGTTTAATCTTAGGTGTGCGGCATGTTTTTGATTTATTATAGTGACTATGAAGAAAAGGACACACTTTTGTTTCTTATATGTGCCCTAATCATTTTACAGCATACTATATACTCAATGCAAACACATTCTTCAGGGTCGGTTTCTGGATTCAGACTCTTTGTATGTTGAAAAAACAATCAAATATGTTTTAAATTTTAGCTGTCATTAATCTTTTTGACGTGAATAGATGTACATGGGTTCCAGATCTTGTCCAACATGCTATAACTCAACTGACTGTGCACATCACGTTACTGTATAGATGACTGTGATGAACAAAATATGGGCAGAAGAACTCCCATTTGGGTTGCTTTAGCTGTGGTTCAGTCCTATAATCGGAGGCGTAAAGTTCCTCGGAGTGCGATCTCACTTCCCCACTTGGAAATTTGCTTATCAAAAGCAGCATTTTCAGCCAAGCAAAATTCTGGTAACATTCTTCCTAGTTCATAATATCTGGCGTTGAATTTGTTGTTCTTACATAATTCTTGCTCCTCATTGTTTGTGATGCAGTTTTAGGCATTGTTTTTTCCCACTGCAATACTGATTCCTCGTGCATTACCTCGTATTAGTCTATATCTGCCATATGGTTTATTTATAGGAAATGTTCAAATGTTTTATATTTTCATTATTAACAAGTACTTATGAGCGATACTTTGTTACAAGAAGTCTTGTGATAGTTCCATTTGTCAATCCGTATTCGAACTTATAGAAGCCGAAGATGTGTTTTTTTGAGGTGTGACATCTGAAAAGTGACAGGGTAAGGGGATCATGGTAGCATGGGATGCCTGATCTCACATTGATCAGTAACTATTAGGTACTTAAGTGGATTGGTCCACCTTCGTTACTAACTACTTAACTAGCTTTTGCCCTCTAAGCTACTCATCACTTGGTACTTCCTCCATTTTATAAGTCATATTTGGAAGCAGTCTTTATTCCCAAATGAGTATTTTTGCCAACTTTTAAGAGTAATTAATACATTTTTGTTTTTTCAAAAATGACTTTGTAAGATGCAATTTCGGTTCTTCTACCTTGTAAGATGCAATTTTTCCCCACAAAAATGATCTTGCTGATACAGGCAGTGCTCAAGTATATTGGTTCTCCTATCTTAATAATCAATTTTTGAACATCTTCCTATTTTTAATTGTGAGTGCAAAGCAATGATGTGAAACTACTAGGAAGTGATGGCAAAAGAAACTACCAGGAAGTATCTTCTTGAAAAGCTCATATAGAATCAATTGAAATCACCCCATCATATTATGATACAGGCAGTGCTCAAGTATATTGGTTTAGAGATTGTTTGGGGCTTGGACATCTTAGGATGGACCATATAAACCTAATCACCCGTCCCTGACCTGTCTTTGCTTGTTGAAAGTTTGTTTATACGTTCTTCAAAGCTAAATCAGTCAAGAAAATTCTGTCAATGTAACGAATGGAGCTAACATATTAGTTTGTTTCCCTTCACAGCATCAATACACATGCCCCGGATAGGTTATCAAGGTGGATCAGATCGTTCTGAGTGGTACACCATCGAGCGTCTTCTGCGAAAATATGCTTCCATTTATGGCATCAGTATATATGTGTACTGCTCTCACTCCTTCTCTTTCTCTCCACACACACACACACATATTGTGCACATTGGCTTTCATATGATGAGTTTCATGCATTTTCCTGACAGATACTATTATCGTCGACAATCTCAGTAAAGCTTAAGATTGATTCAAGCATCAGGGAGGATAGTTCTTGGGAATCATCCTCTGCCTCCTATAATGTGTATATTCTTCTGGCTTTCTTAGTAACTGAATTTTCTCAGGATCACAGAATGTCCTCAGTAAGTCAGGATTAAGCTTACCTTTTTTATTTCGTCCAGTGCGTGATCTCCCCCCCCCCCCACCCCCAAAAAAAACCCCCAAAAAAAAAAACCACAACAAAAAAAAGTAAGCTAACCCTCCTAGAAGCAAGCTACTGAAAACCATGCTTGTCGTTGAACGGTGAAGACAGTGGTTATTTCGAGTCCTATTTGCTATGAAGCAATGAAAATGAGAGATAGGAACTGTGATTGTAATTGAGGAGACATTACTAAAAAATATTTAGCATAAATAATTGTTTGTTACATGAGATTAGGCAAACCTATGAAGGTGAGATTGGAAAATACCGCTTCTTTTTATAGTATTTTCTAATTCCACATACGTGGGTTTGTCTAATCCTATCTATCAAGCAATATCTCATGATAAACTCTATTTTAATAAATTTTCTCAATTCTAATAGTAATTTTTATCTCTTATTTTTAATGCTTCATATCAAACGGGATCTAAGGGTTACTAATCCAATAATAGTTGAACTGTGATTAACTTTAACTATAATTTATTTAAATTATACAAAAATTTTCATATAAAATATTCATATATAAACAGAATTAACACGATAGAGTTATTAGAGAAAAAAAAAATGATTGGTTGCTTTTTGTTTTTTTATATCTTTGAATGATGTTTCAAGTTTAAGAAGGAAAGAAAAATACTAGAGTGTGATCTATGCAAGATTTTTTACTAGATACATGAAAGGATTGGTTTACTGAATTAATAGTTTAGGTGACCTGCTCAGATTAGGTTTTAATATCATCTTAAGAAGAACTAATTGTAACTTGGACCCTGTAAATATTCTTCATGTTTTGTAAATGAATTTTTAAATTCAAAGTCAAGGAAATGATCATTTCCAATTTTCATAAGACATTATGTTAAATGTAATGGGTCCTTCAAATGTAATTGTAATTAGAATACACACCTTATGCTTAGGGGCGATTTTACTTGTAATAGAAATTATATACTTTCCACGGAAAAATATAATGGGTGTTTGTTTTAGAGACTTAGAGGCAGTGCTGAAAAAATGGGTGGGTTTCTCACGGGTTCGGTCACGGGTCACGTGGGCTTGGGGTTGGTCTTGTGGACTTTTTGACCCATTTAATCATTTTTCATTATTTTTTTTGTCTTTTTTGAAGTTCTTAATTTGAAAATAAAATATGATAAAAATTAAGGCACAGACTGATAACATCAACAAAAAATATTTCCTAAACATTGATAAAGAACTAGTATCCACATTTATAATTAACAATTTATCAGTCTTTTGAGTTTTTTCTTTTCTTTTTTTTATTTTTTGCGAGCAAGGCATTGTGCTAACAGTTGCCATCAAATCAAATATCACATTTATTATTTAACTAGTCAAATATTATAAATTTAACAAATATTCAGCAACATAACTAATTGCAGCGAAAGCAAGCACTAACATTCAACTCAATTATATTTTTTTTATTTTGTTTCACTTAAAAATTTAATAAAATAAGATATCAGCATTCAGTTATATCACAGTCAGCTCAAAAATAAATATATGCCTATAAATTATAAGAGGGAAAAATTATACAATTTTTTTTTAATTTGCTAAAATTATCTAATTAGTTTCCCAGTTATCAAGCTTTATTATTGATAAACATAAGCAAACCAATATTCTTGATTTAAATAATATTACCTCTGACCCTTAGGGCCTGTTTGGTTTGAGGGGAGGGGAGGGTAGGGGAAGGGAGGGGAGGTTTCATCCTCACCTTGTTTGGTTTGATTAAAAAGGAGGGGAGATGAGGATATTTAATGATCCCTTGGTTGGTTCAAAGAGAGGAGGGGAGGAGAGGGATAGTAATAATCAATTTACTATTTTACCCTTTCATATTAGTTTATGTTTTTTATTGATATATTATATAAATTAATTTACATCTTATTTTAAATCATATAATTTAATAAAAATTCAGTCTTATCAAGTTAATATGTGTATTAAAAAATTGGTACAGTAATTTTTTATTCTAATTAATATAATAATATATTTAAAATAATCAAATTAACAAATTTTATATGCTCTAAGAAAAATGAAATTTTATTCTCTTTAGGCTATCTTTTTTTCCAGTTTAAAATATATTTAATAAATAATATATTTATAAAAAACAATTAATTTTATAATATTATAATATTTTATTTTTAAATAATATTTTATAATATATTTTTAATTATAATAATGTGTATATATATTTTTTTACTTAGGATAATATATTTTTTATTTGAAATAAATATTATAATAATATATTTTATGAGTAGAAGTGGAATATTAAAAAAACTATAAAGGCATAATGATCCAAAAATTTAGTTTCCCTCCAAAAACCCCCAATTTGGAGGGGAGCCAAAATAGGGGAGGTTTAGCTCCCCTCCCCTCCAAAATTTTTAACCAAATGAGGGGAGAGGCTCCCCTCCCCTCCCCTCCCCTCCCCTCCCCTCCCCTCAAACCAAACAAATCCTTAGTATAAGAGCCAATTACTAATTTAGGTAGATTAAAGAAGTTTATTAAGTTAGTTATTTGTAATAAATATGTATTATTTTCTTTTAAAATTTTTCTTGCTGATCGAGTGTGTCTGTTAGCTTTAACATATGATGAAATCTTTTGCCAAAAAAAAACATATGATGAAAATGATTACTTTAGAAAAAAATGAATAAATATGAAAAACAAAATAGATAGGGGTTTTAACGTTTTATACTACCTCTGGTCCTTAATATAAGACTTTGATTCTCTCATATTTATACATTTTTCCTAATGTAGTCCTTCTAACAATAATAGTTCTAGCCAATATACTTGATTAGTAAGGATATTTTAGGAAAGACAATATTTATTTATTACAAATAACTAACTTAACTTTTTTCTTTAATCTCTTTAAATTAGTCAACTAGCTTTTATAATTAAGATGTGAGATAGTCTTTAGGACTAAATTAAAAGTTAAAGATTAGAGGTCGTATATATTAGTAAATTAAACTGTGAAACTAATTTTTGAATAACAAAAACAAAGAAAAGCAAATCGTTATGCAGAATTCTCATGACAAAATATCTATCTATTATTGTATAGATATCTTGATATTTTTGCATCCTATTGATCATGTGATTTATAATGGATTAAAACAACTTCAAGCAAATCTGACTCCCATTAGGAGGAAAACAAAAATTCTTGTTGGGAACGCTCTCAAATCATTGAGATTATTATCAAACCTAATAAATACAAAAAGAGTTATGTGCCTTGAAGAGAGGGGGGCAAAAAAAAAAAAAAAGAGGGGTAGAAATTCTACATTCTACCTGACGAACCCCACGATTATGATGGAGAATTTGTTGAGGAGGGAGTGGCCAACTGGTGTAATTTTGGACGAAGTGAAGGTCCTAAACTAGATCCTCGAAGCGTGTCTACGCGTTCTTGTGCAGTGTGTGAAAATTTTGAAGCAATTTGCAGGGGCGAGTTTGTTACCGTTTATCATACGAGGACGGAAGCAGCAAGTTTGATGGCCGTCGTTTCGCATTCTCGTAGTGGTTCATCAGTGGTATTTGCAAAGCATTACTTTATCCCCATCTTCGATCCCTGCTCACTGCTTTCTTCGGCTTGCAGGTGCACTACTCAAAATTATCTTTTAATTTCTTTTCTTTTCCTTTCCTGCCTTTCGTATGCCTAGTAGTAGGTTCTCGTAATCCCTTTTGAAATTCAGGCAATTCTGCTCGAATCAGAGTGAAACTACTAGCAAGGATGACGAAATTGACAAAGATGATAAACCCAAATCATCCACCAAATTGAACACGGCCAAAGCCATGGCTAGGTTTATCAATTACAAACCTTGGTCAAATGAGCTGGCATCCTCTTTATCTTCACTTTCTCCCCCTCTGTCGAAAAACATGGTGCTTCAAACTCTTCGCCTTATCGAACATTCATCAAAGGCCTTTCAATTCTTTAAGTGGGTACACGATATGGGGTTCTCTCACAATGACCAATCATACTTCTCAATGCTTGAAATTTTGGGCCGTGGAAGAAACCTTAATGTAGCTCGGAATTTTTTGTTTTCAATTGAGCTAAGATCCAATGGTGCTGTTAAGCTTAATGATCGATTCTTTAATAGCTTAATTAGGAGTTATGGTCAAGCTGGGTTGTTTGAAGAGTCGATGAAGCTTTTTCAGACTATGAAGACAACGGGTGTTTCACCATCTGTGATCACATTCAATAGTCTTTTGTCTATATTGCTTAGACGGGGTCGAACGAATATGGCCAACGATCTTTATGACGAAATGCTCAGAACGTATGGAGTTGCACCAGACACGTGTACATACAATATTTTGATCAGAGGGTTTTGTAAGAACTCCATGGTTGATCAAGGTTTTCGATTTTTCAATGAAATGTCACGCTTCAATTGTGATGCTGATATTATTACATATAATACACTAGTTGATGGCTTGTGTAAAGCCGGAAAGGTCAAAATAGCACATAATTTAGTGAAGGGTATGAGTAAGAAAAGCAAGGATTTGAATCCTAATGTTGTGACTTATACAACTTTAATTAGAGGCTATTGTATGAAACAAGAATTAGATGAGGCCTTGCTTATAATTAAGGATATGACTGGTCAAGGGCTCAAGCTAAACAAAATTACTTACAATACTCTGATTAAAGGGCTCTGTGAAGCCCGGAAATTAGATAAGATAAAAGATATTTTGGAACAAACCATAGGAGATGGGGAATTCAGTCCAGACACATGTACCTTCAACACATTAATTCATGCACATTGCAGTGCAGGAAACTTAGACGAGGCATTAAAGGTGTTTGAGAGAATGAAAAACTTGCGGGTCCTAGCAGACTCAGCCACTTACAGTGTTCTGCTACGGAGCCTGTGTCAGAGAGAGGACTATGATATGGCAGAAATGCTATTTGACGAGTTGGATGAGAAGGAAATTTTGTTGAGTAAGTTTGGCTCTAAGCCTCTTGCTGCTGCTTACAACCCTATGTTTCAGTATCTTTGTGAACATGGGAAAACTAAGAAGGCTGAGAGGGTGTTTAGACAGCTAATGAAAAGGGGAACACAAGACCCTCCGTCCTACAGGACAATGATTATGGGGCACTGTAAGGAAGGTTCTTATGAAGACGGATATGAGCTTTTGAAGTGGATGTTAAGACAGAATTTTCTTCCAGATGTTGAGATATATGATTGTTTGATTGATGGTTTTCTTCAGAAGGAGAAACCTCTTCTTGCAAAAGAGGCATTGGAGAAAATGATAAGGAGTTCCTATCTTCCCAAAACATTGACCTGGCACTCTGTACTGGCAAAGCTATTGGAAAAAGGTTGTACCCATGAATCTGCCAGTTTTATTGTCATGATGCTAGATAAAAGAATTAGACAAAATATAAAATTTTCAACCATGAGTTTACAGCTGCTTTTTGGCCGTGGACTAAAGGACAGAGCATTTGAAGTTTTAGAGTTGCTTTACAAGCATGGGTACTGTGTTAAAATAGATGAACTAGTTCAATTTCTTATACACAGAGGAAAGCTATCAGAGGCATGCAAAATGTTGGCATTTTGTATTGAAAGTCATCAAAATGTTGATCTTGATTTGTGCAATGCTGTTATTTTGGGCATTTGTAAAAGGAGAAAGGTCTCGGAAGCTTTTGGTTTATGCTATTTCTTGGCGGAGAAAGGCTTACATCAGGAATTGACATGCCTAGACGAACTGGTATCTGCTCTAGAGGCTGAAGGAAGATCAGATGAAGCTGCATTTGTATCCAAGAGGATGCAAAGGCAAGAATTATCAGGCAGATCTTCACAAAAATAGGGACTCATTCTTAGTGCTGCACAAATATGATGCAATAACAGCAGCCCATTGATCGTTCTGCGCTTCAGACTTTTCAAGATGAAAAGTCATCGCCACCTGAATGGAGCATGATATATATTCGAAAGTTATCTTTCATTTACCATTTTGATTGAAAATTGTCATAATAGTGAATGGTTTCCTATTGTTTCTATTCTAATGTTAATAAAAATAGTAGGGTCCGAGGCTGCTGATCCTTTTGTTTGCTTTGGGAAGAGAGGCTAGATTGGCTGTATTTCCCAAAGAACAGGATTTTTCCGCCATATCATGTTGATATTTAGACGAAGACAAACCTTACGTAGAGTTATTTAGATAATTTGCGCTTTAGGTTTTTCAATTCAAAAAAAAAAAAAAAGCTCATGGACGTGTTTTTCTAACTACACAATGCATCCATGATTCTCACTTCCATAAATTTATTGAAAATCCAAATAGTAAATACCCAAAAAGATGCCTTTATGTTGTGTGCTTTGGCAAACCAATGCCATAACTTGGTTGATTTAACATGTTATTCAGGAGAATGTAACTCTCATATTTACTGTGACTGCCAAACTATGGCAAGTTTAGAAGCAGGATCTTGTATTTCTTAACACATGTTTGGATTGCCGTTTCAAGGAGCAAACGTGGTTGGGACTTTGTGAAATGCAAGTTTGAAGCTTATTTGGAGATTGAAGGTGTTTGGGTGGGCTTTTAACCCAACTAACTTTTGGAGGAAAAGTTCATTGGAGTGGAACGCTAAGAATTTGAGCTTATGGTGTTTGTAACGTGGAGAAAGAGGGAATAAAGGTGAAAAAGAAAGATAAGGGTATTTAAATAGATTCTATCTTGGCCCAATAATTTGATTTTTTTTTTCTAAGATGAAAAAAAGTTAAGTAATAAAATTTAATTAATTATTTTTGTAAAATTTATCAACTTGTATACATATCATATATTACCTTTACTCCTTAATATAAGACCCAAAAAGACTAATTTGAATAGATTAAAGAAGCTAAATAAATTATTTAATTATATTATATGTTACATGATATCTTTCAAATATTTATGTGTATCATTAGATTACATATTAGTTTATAAGTCAAACAAATTAATTCAAAGAAAAATGATAAATATAAATACTTTAAAATAATTTATTTAACTGCATTACTTTTTTCAAATCAGTTAACTGAGTCTTTTAAGAACTAGAGGTAATATATTATAAAATTCATTTTTTTTAGTTATTTTATATCTAAACTTATTTTTTCATTATTGACTGAATATTTTGAGTAATTCACTCTCATGTATTATTTCATATGATAGGCTACAATATATAGAGTCCGGATGGGTGAGAGGATCCGGTTACAATCAATCAGAATTGAATTACAATTAATTAGAGATATAGCAGCACATAATCAGGGATTTATTTTCTAGCTAAAATCAAGGGTGGAAATTTGAGAATATCACGGGCTTTTTAACACTCCCCCTCAAGCTGGAGAGTAGATGTCAACCATTCCCAGCTTGCTTCGAAGCCCTTCAAACTTGACTCTGGCTAAAGGTTTGGTCAAGATGTCAGCAATCTGATCAGATGAGCGCACATAGTTCAAGTTGATGGTACCACCTTCTACTTTCTCTTTGATAAAGTACAGATCAATGTCGACATGCTTTGTTCGGTCATGATAAACCGGATTCTTCGTCATTTCGATACTGGCTTGGTTGTCACACCAAAGGTTCACTGGACCTTCATAGGGAATTCTTAGTTCCTTCAGGAGTCTGATCACCCACATTCCTTCACATACCCCCAGTGCTATAGCTCTCAACTCAGCTTCAGTACTGCTCCTTGAGACCACGGTCTGTTTCTTGCTCCACCAAGTGACGAGGTTTCCCCAAACATAAGTGCAATAACCTGTGACAGATCTCCTATTATCCACAGCTCTCCCACGATCTGCATCAGTGTAGACCTCTATGTGTCTCGTATTTCCCCTTTTAAAGAATATTCTTCTTCCAGGATTGAGTTTGAGGTAGGTCAGGATTCTGTACACTGCTTCCATGTGTTCTTCCTGAGGTTGGTGCATAAATTGGCTTACCACGCCGACTGCATAGCTAATGTTAGGTCGTGTATGGGTCAAGTAGATCAGTTTTCCCACAAGTCTTCTATACCTTTCTGCGTCAACTGGTACCCCTTCTGGTTTAACTTCCAGATTGCATGACTCTTCCATAGGTGTTTCACTCGGTTTACCCCCAAGTATCCCTGTTTCGTGGAGTAAATCAAGTGTGTATTTCCGTTGGGACACACTTATACCCTTTTTGGATCTAGCAACCTCCATTCCAAGAAAGTACCTCATTTGTCCTAGGTCCTTCACTTGGAATTCCCTCGCCAGGGCTCTCTTGAGTTGGGAGATAGAAGCTTCATCATCACCAGTTATGACTATATCATCCACATACACAATTAGGATCGTTACTTTTCCATCACTGTGTTTGATGAAAAGGGTGTGGTCCGCCTGACCTTGGTTGTAACCAAGCCTTTTAATTGCTTTGGCAAACCTATCGAACCACGCTCGTGGAGATTGTTTCAGGCCATATAATGACTTCTTCAGTTTGCAAACTGAATTGGGTGGAGCTATTACTCCATCTGGGACTTCCATGTATACTTCCTCCTCTAAGTCTCCATTCAGGAAAGCATTCTTTACATCCAGTTGATGCAAGGACCAGTCAAGGTTAGTAGCTAGGGACAGGAGTACCTGGATGGTATTGAACTTTGCCACTAGTGCAAATGTTTCTTGATAATCAATCCCATAAGTTTGTGTGTATCCTTTTGCAACTAACCTCCCTTTGTACTTGTTGATGCTTCCGTCAGGGTTGAACTTAGGGGTGAAGATCCATCTGCAACCCACTGCTTTCTTCCCCTTAGGGAGTGTGGTAATATCCCATGTGTTGTTCTCCTCCAAGGCTTTCAGCTCTTCATATGTTGCATGTTTCCAATTAGGATCTTTCATGGCCTGTTGAAATGTTTTTGGAATTTTTACCTGTGAGCTATTCACCACAAAGGTTTGCATTCTAGCAGATAAATTGCCATAAGAGACAAATCTTTGAATAGGATGCTGAGTACACGACTTTACCCCCTTTTTAAGTACAATAGGCCATCCTAGCTCTTCAAGATCCAACTACGGATTGGAATCATGTTGCTGCCTTGGAATGGAAGGAACCCTACTACTCCTGTCTTGTTCTCCTGATTGAGACCCTGAGTGCTCTATCATCCCTGCATCAATCTTAGCATTTGTTTCCATTGTGTGAGGATTGTTTATGGGGCTTTTAGGCTGTTCCGGTTGAGGTGTAGGTTTTGGGGTTTCCGATTCAGGTTTAGGTATTTCTTCTTGTGGTATGGAGGGTTCAGGTGGGTTAAGATGTGAGTTGGTCTTAGGTTCAGGTGTAATTAGCCATTCTACTCCATCACTCTCCCCCTGAATGGGTAATTTGGGATAGTATGCATCATTCTCATAAAAGACGGTGTCTTTGGAGATTATGAGTTTTCTAGTAGAGGGACAATAACACCTATAACCTTTTTGAGTTGAGGAGTACCCGAGGAAAATGCATTTTTCTGCTCTAGCTCCTAGTTTGCCCCATCATGTTTATGAACAAAGACAACACACCCAAAGACTTTTGTGGGATGGTATTGATGATAGGTGAGGTTGGGTAGGTTTCAAGAAGTTTTTGGATAGGGGTACTGAAATTGGGAAATTTGGAGGCCATTTGGTTGATAAGATAGGCTGCCGTTAGCACAGCGTCTCCCCAAAACAAACTGGGAACATTCCTTGCCATCATAATGGCTCGGGTTACTTCTAAAAGGTGCCTATTCTTTCGCTCGGCAATTCCATTTTGTTGAGGAGTATAGACACACGAGGTTTGGTGGTGGATTCCCTGTTGTTCAAGAAATTCCCTAAAGGCTCCACTCATATACTCTTTAGCATTGTCACTTCGCAGAACTCTAATGGGAGTTTGAAATTGGGTTCGCACAAAAGAGTGAAAGTTTTTGAAAATTTGTAAGGCTTCAAATTTCTCTTTCATAAGGTAAACGATAGGGGTGCACAAAGACCAGACCAGACCGGGTTTAACCTCAACCTGAGGTCTGGTCTGGAATGACCCCGGGTTACACTTTCCTACCCAAAGTCTAGTCCGGTTTGAAACAAACCCGATAGCAAACCAGACCAGGTTGGTCCTTCGGGTTAACAGACTGGTCCACCAAAAAAGAAAGAATAAAAAAAGAGGGGAAGTTAAGATTCGAACGTTCCTACCTTCACCCCCAAAACTCCCACCATATCAATCTTCCTTTTTCTTTTTATTCTTATTCCCTATTCCAATCGCAAACCATAGTGAAAAAAGCATAAGAAATAGGAGAAGCAGAAGGAAGACAACAAATCTGGTAATGGAGTTTTACAGCTTTCAAGCTCATTAACAATCAACAATCTTCATAGCAACACATCAACAAAAATATTTGATAGCAACAGAATTTTTTTTTACAAAGCACAAAAAAATATCAGGATGTTACGAACTCATGAAATCGAACAAAGCAAGCACAAAAAAAACCCATGATCTTCATCTTTGCTTCAACAGATCTGATACGGGTTCTTTGTCTTCAACTTCAGCAACTTTGGAAGATGCCATCGACAAGTTTGTCTTCTCCGTCCTTTGCAACAGCGTACTGTGTTGACCCACCTTGATCCAGATCGGGCAATCTATGAAGAGGCCGAAGAGATGATCAAGATTGGATGCCAAAATGTTTGTTGTTACTGCAGATCAGGACGGTGGGTGTCTTGATGGAAGATCTGGAATGAATCAAGCATTAAGGGAGCTTGATAGCTAGTGGATTAGGGAGATCGAAGTTAAGATGAGAGAAGAAAACGTTGGAGGATTGGTAGGTGGAGGCGGAGGCTTCTGATTAGATGAGGAGATAGGTTAAGAAATAATTTTTCTAATAAAAAATAAATATATATATGCCGGGTCAGACCAGACCATTTGGTCTGAGGGGCTAACCAGAAACCCGGTCTGACCCGATGACCAACCCGATCTAGTCTAGTTTTTTTTTTGTTCAGGCTGTATTTTTTCGGGCTAAACTGGACCGGCTTTCTTTAGACTAGATCGGGTTTACCTGGACCGGGTTTTTTTTGAACAGCCCTAGGTAAACCTATGTAACCCGAGTATGATCATCAATGAATGTAACAAACCATGTTGTGCCCGTTCGGGTTTTAGTTTTGGATGGTCCCCAAATGTCGGTATGGATCATCGTAAACGGTGTAGTGGGTTTGTAAATATGTTTGGGATAAGAAGCACGAGTTTGTTTGGCAATTTGACAAGTTTCACACTGGAAAGGTGAAGAATTTTTATTGAATAAAGTTGGAAACACATGCTTTATATAATCAAAGCTGGGGTGGCCTAATCTTTGATGCCACAACATTACATTTTTATTTTTGAGAATTGGAGCTAACCATAGCTTTCCTTGCTTCTTTAGTCTTCATATCCTTTCCTTCAAAGTAGTAGAGTCCATCCCATTTTTTAGCAGTTAAAATCTTCCTCCCCGAGGTCGAATCCTGAAAAACACATTTAATATTATCAAAGATCACCCGACATACTTGTCCTTTAGTCAATTTTCTCACAAATATAAGATTGCAAGTAAGAGCAGGAACAAACAAAACATTATGAATTTCCAGATCATCAGAAAGAGCCACAGTGCCAACACCCTCAACTCTAGTATATAGGCCAGTTGCTACTTTTACTCTAAGGTTCTCATGGGAGTATTTGAGAGTTTTGAAGAGAGACTTGTTACTAGTCATATGGTCTGTAGCACTGGAGTCAACAATCTATGTCTCATCACTAGTTACCATTGCATTAAGGGCAATAATAGAATTACCTGACTGGATCAAGTTTACATTGGGAACTGATTTTGATTTGTTTTGCTTTTCAAGCATCTTACGAAGCATTTGAAGTTCTTCTCTGGTCAAGTGGTCTCCATCATCACTTCTTTCCTCGGAGGAGGTGTGATGGCTCTTTCCATCTTGTCGTTGTTTCTGTCTCCCTGTGGTTGGTTTTCCATGTAGTTTCCAGCACTCATCTCTGGTGTGGCCCTTGTTACAGTGATTGCACCACTTGCTCCCTTTTCTTTCAGAGCTCTCTGATGTTTGGGAACTCCTTGTGACTAATGCGGAGCCATCTATTGGAATTTGATTTCCTTGAGTGAGATGTCTCCAGCTTTCTTCGAACTTAACCATACTGAAGACTTCAAATAGGGATGGAAGAGGTTTAAGACCCATAATTCTGCCTCTCACTTCTTCAAAAACATCATTCAGGCCCAATAGGAAGTCATAAGTTCAACCTTTTTCAACTAGCTGTCTGTAGTAATTAGCATCATCAATATTCTTCCACGGATGTACTTCAAAGAGATCCAATTGCTGCCATATCTTAGTCAGGGTGCTGTAGTATTGTGTTACAGTCAAGTTTCCTTGCTTTAGATCCTTGAGTTGCCTCCTCAGATCTAACAAGGTAGCAGTGTTGTCCAATGTAGAGTAAGTGTGCCTAGCAGCATCCCAGATCTCCTTGGCTGTGCTTGCAAGAAGGTATCCCTCACTAATTTCGAGAGTCATTGAGTTGCATAGCCAAGACATCACCTGATTATTTTCAGCAAACCAGATGTCAAAACTAGGATCATTATGTGCTGGTTGTTTTGCTTCTCCATTGATATACTTCTCCTTACGCTTCCCACGTAGATATATTAATACACTCTGAGACCATTGGAGATAGTTGCTGCCATTCAGTTTGTGAGCCACCACCATAGCTTGAGGTTCAATGGTTGTTGTCAAGTCTGACACTGAATCAAATGTTTTAGAAGGGGCCATTGGTGAAGAAGAGTTACCTTGAGTATTTGTGGATGTGCTAGACATAAGGGCCGTTGGGATGGTTCCTTTGGAGATAGGCATATTGCAAACAGACCCAAAAGGGGTGGGAAATCCGATGGATTCATCTTCTGGATCGAAGGAGATATTGTGGCGGCGCGCTGGCGAAGGCGAGTGGGCTTCATGCGCGGCTCCGTTTGACGTCGGCTTCCGGGGATGCGCCGATCGGAGGTTTCCGGTGAGATCTGGAGTGTCGGTGGACGGCAACTTCTCGGTCACGTCCAACTTCTGGCTTCAGATCTGAGGACGCCTCACTCTCTCTCTCCCTCCCTCTCTCTCTCTCTCCGTTTTCCGACAGGGTTTCAGGACGGAATTCAGGTTCAGACCGAACCTAGTGCTCTGATACCATGACTGAATATTTTCAGTAATTCACTCTCATGTATTATTTCATATGATAGGCTACAATATATAGAGTTCGGATGGGTGAGAGGATCCGGTTATAATCAATCAAATTGAATTACAATTAATTAGAGATATAGTAGCACATAATCAGGGATTTATTTTCTAGCTAAAATCATGGGTGGAAATTTGAGAATATCACGGGCTTTCTAACAATTATCCATCCAAATAAGTTTTAATTTATCAAATTGAGTTTTATAAAAGTACATCCAAACATGAATCATATTATACTAATTGGGCTTCATGCGCGGCTCCGTTTGACGTCGGCTTCCGGGGGGATGCGCCGATCGGAGGTTTCCGGTGAGATCTGGAGGGGCGGTGTCGGTCACGTCCAACTTCTGGCTTCAGATCTGAGGACGCCTCACTCTCTCTCTCCCCTCACTCTCTCTTCTCGCTCTTCCGTTTCCCCAGGGTTTCAGGACGGAATTTCAGGTTCAGACCGAACCTAGTGCTCTGATACCATGACTGAATATTTTCAGTAATTCACTCTCATGTATTATTTCATATGATAGGCTACAATATATAGAGTTCGGATGGGTGAGAGGATCCGGTTATAATCAATCAAATTGAATTACAATTAATTAGAGATATAGTAGCACATAATCAGGGATTTATTTTCTAGCTAAAATCATGGGTGGAAATTTGAGAATATCACGGGCTTTCTAACAATTATCCATCCAAATAAGTTTTAATTTAAAAATTGAGTTTTATAAAAGTACATCCAAACATGAATCATATTATACTAATTGATTTTATCCTAACTTATGTATATAAAATTAGGTGAAATAAAAATTAGTTTTGCTACTGCTAATCCAAAACACACTTTTAGTAGGCATGTTTTGAGTTGATTGATACAGCGGAGGCAGTGTAGGTCTTACTAATACTCATGATTATAACTTTCAAGAGAAGTCAAATGCGAAGAAGTTTTCTTTCTTCCTTTGTTTCTGTATACAGGTTGAAATGTTTTATACCAGTAACTAATAAAGTGGTTGTTTCTTGTGTCTTTTGAAGCTAGTATACATTGGTCCCTTCTCACTTTTCAACGACTATTTCTGTTGTAATTTGTCTCCTAGTTACTACAAGGAAGTTAAGGTCAAGTTGACAGTGCAGGGTGACCCTGAATCCTCACTGGATGCTTCAGATCAAGCAGCAAGCTATTAGCAAACCTGAATGATGTACGACGAAACCTTATTCTTTTTCCCTCTGTGGTAACTTCTCTCCCCAACTTAATGCCAAACTTTCATCAGTCTTTTGCCAATTCCAACAAAAGTCACCTAGTTGACCAAAAAAGGAAAGCGGCCAAGGCTTTTCCGCTCTCAAATATACGTTCTGTGTGTTTATGCCATGGTCATCTTCAAAGGAGGGTGCGTGTAGTGCAGTTTTGTGAATTATGAGACTCTGGCTTTGCATCTCCAATTTCGCTCTTTTATTTCTTTAGTATAATGCCTTTTATTGAAGTTTAAGTCAATTTATACCCGCAAAAGATTGATTTGAAGGGTGTTAAAGTTACAGGATTACAGCAATCTCCTAGTCTCCTGTTTTCTTATCTGGAGGAAAGTATCTTGTGTTTGGATTGTGCTTAGAGAAGTCAAGTTGGTTGCTTATGCCATTGCTGGGAGGCATGTCTGATGTGACTCTGGTTCTTTGCTGAATATTGAACAATGTGGGTGCGCTAATGGCGAGAACCTGGAAAAACTTGCATGAGGTCTTACGTCTGCAACTATGTATATCATCATTGGACAAGAAAGACTAGGTCTTACTTTGTTCAGGTGCAAAGAAGGCCATTTGAAGTGCTGGTGAAAAAAAGTTGAGTGGATGGTCTTTAACTTCGTGGAAGGATGTAAATGGAAACTAAATCTTTCTTGCTAATGAACTACTTTTTACTATTATGAGTTATGTAAATTATTCTAACAGCTCTATGATTGCTATCCATTTTTCTCAAATGGCTCTGCTTAATTATTCCTTTCATTTTGTTGCGCTTGATGTAGCGCTTGTATTCCTGATTGATGGATACAGTTCTCCTTTCCGTTGAAACCCAAAAAAAAAAGAAAAAAAGAAAGAAGAAGAAGAAGAGAAGAAGAGCACTTAAAGAAGCTAAAGAATGAGATTTTTGAATAATTTATGGTCGATAGAGTTTAATAGCCTTATACTATCCATGTAACTGATTTGACTTAATGAGATAGAGCTGCTTGTTGTTGTTGTTGTTGTATGTTAATGAATTATTTGAAAGTAGCTAAAGAATGAAGGTATTCAAAGTTTAGGAGTAGCCATTAATAAGATGAAAGGTCATTTAGCCTCAGTTAATGTTTTTCTTCCAATGTGTTGCCTAATATGATATGACCTAAGAGGAGTCAGATTAAACATCTTGCTCTTGGTTTGGGTTGAGTCTGAGTCCCTATCTTAAATTTTTGTTTCAAAAAAAAAAAAAGACTTAAACTCATTCTTAGGACAAATCATGCTTGCCTGCATCTATTAAAAAATTATTTGTAAAATTCATTATGTGGATTATAAATTAAAGCTATCTTTTGTTGCCAAAAAAACAAAATTAAAGCTATCTTTTTAGCTTTTAATATCCCAGAAAGAGGAAAACAAACAAGAAGAAACCAATTGGACTGGGATCATTTCTAAAAATAGGATTAAGGTACAAAAAAACTTAAAAAAAAAAAAAAACATCGCTGGCATCTTCAACTCAAGTTTGGTGTTATTTTATTTATTGAACTTAAAAATATTTTTCTCCTAGCTCATTTATAAATGGATGTCTCGCCTCCGTTATGTATTAAGGATGCTTTTCACCATTTTTTAGGGTAGATAGGTAGAACTGCACCGTTTTTTCATTAGGAACTCGGATTTGGTAGTGTTTAATTTCTTTCAAAAGTAAATGTATATGCATGGCCAAACTAATAATCATATAAAGACAGAAATAAAAATAAACTATCATCTACAAATACAATGAAACAACTACAAGTTATAAATAATCTGTTCTGTTTTTTGGAAAAAGGGCCGCCACCACGTTGCCCATCCATGAACCATAAGTTTTCTTCACATGACACCTATTTTCTAAATCCCATCTTGAAAAAGTTGTTTGAAAGGTAGAAATGAATTAGAAAGTTAAACCAAGAAGAAAACAGAAAGAGTACTGTTCAACTCTATAAGCAAAATTAAAACCTTCTTCCCACCTTCCCAAATAAAGAAGCCATTTCTCTCACTACATGCTACACTTCTCTCTCACTAACCTCTCTCCAATAACCTGTGAAGCTCTCCATTTATAACCCCAGAGATTGTGAATGATTCTCCATTGAAGCTGAAGAAGAAGAAGAAGAAGAAGAAGAAGCTGGTTAATTAGCTAACCTGAGAATAATATATAGATATAAAGATGCCAAGTGTTGAGAATGGTAATGGCAGTTTCACGCAGGGGCAGCAGCAGCAATCTGGCGCTGCTGCAACACACAGGGGTAAGCGTGCGCCAACACCTGGGAAGGCAACAGTGCTTGCAATAGGGAAAGCATTCCCAAGCCAAATCATCCCGCAAGAATGTTTGGTGGAAGGATACATTCGTGACACCAAATGTGCTGATTCTTACATCAAAGAAAAATTGGAACGTCTCTGTAAGTGCAATTAATTGGCTTTTTCTTTTTATCATTTGTTTATTTATTTTTATAGAATTTCGACCCCGTTTGGATGCTTATCAAAACTATTCCTAAGATTTAATATTTTTTAATTATTTTAAAAAAATTAGTAATAGTTAAGTTATATACTATATAATAACGATGTGAGCCTATCATTCCATAAGAACTTTTGTGAGTACTCTAGTCAAATAAAGTCTAACTCAAGTAAACTTAATTTGTTAATAAAAGGAGAAAATTAAAAAAAAAATTAAGATTTGAAACTTCATTCAAAATATTATGTTAGAAATGCCCTTTCAAAATAGCAGAATATTATGTCTCATGAAATTTAATTTGTTTTTTTTTAACTTTTAACGCATAAAATAAAATCTCATCATTTTAATTTGCATACTTTATGAATGTTCAACTACTCGCTGATAATACAAGATATTGTGTGATGGAAATGAATAACATTGGGATTTTTTTTTTGGTAACAAAACATTGAGATGTTGATATTTCATTTATATGTCAAATTTAATTTTATTATGTCAATTCGTAAATATTTTAAAAAAATATTAAGGTTTCTACCAAAAATAAATTTTTTAAAAAATAGTTAGTTGTATTTTTGTAATAAACTGCTAGGAAATACTAATTAAGCTGCAATTTTTTTTTTCTCTTATTACCTTTTCCGAAATTATTCACAGGCAAGAACACCACTGTGAAGACAAGATACACACGGTGATTCGAAGGAGATCCTGGACAAATATCCTGAGCTAGCCACCGAGGGATCGCCAACGATCAAACAAAAGCTCGAGATAGCGAACCCGGCGGTGGTGGAGATGGCCACCAGAGCCAGCCATGCTTGCATCAAGCAATGGGGAAGGTCTGCACAGGACATAACCCACATAGTATACGTCTCTTCCAGCGAGATTCGCCTTCCCGGCGGCGACCTCTACCTCGCGAACCAGCTCGGCCTTCGAAACGACGTCGGCCGTGTCATGCTCTACTTCCTTGGTTGTTACGGCGGCGTCACTGGCTTGAGAGTCGCCAAGGACATCGCCGAGAACAATCCTGGCAGTAGGGTTTTGCTCACTACCTCTGAAACTACCATTCTAGGATTCCGCCCTCCCAACAAAGAAAGACCTTACGATCTTGTCGGCGCCGCTCTTTTCGGCGACGGTGCTGCTGCTGCCATAGTAGGAGCAAACCCTATAACCGGCGAGGATCCATTCATGGAATTAAACTACGCTGTTCAACAATTCTTACCGGAAACACATGGTGTGATTGATGGGAAGCTCTGTGAAGAAGGCATTAACTTCAAGCTTGGAAGAGATCTTCCTCAGAAGATTGAAGCTAACATCGAAGAATTCTGCAGAAAGCTGATGGCGAAGAGCAATAAAAATAAAGTGAAAGGGTTTAACGACTTATTCTGGGCTGTTCATCCTGGAGGACCTGCGATTCTGAACAAGCTTGAAAGTACTCTGAAACTAAGCAGTGAGAAGCTGGAATGTAGCAGAAGGGCATTAATGAACTACGGGAATGTTAGCAGTAACACCATTTTTTATGTGATGATGGAGCTCATGAAGGAGTATCTGGAGAAAATGAAGAAGGAGAAGGAGAAGAATGGGGGTTGGCCTTAGCATTTGGACCTGGTATTACTTTTGAAGGCATTCTCATGCGAAGTCTGTCTTGAAAACTACTGGAAGTTGCAGAAGGAAGAAGAGGAGGAGGAGGAAGAAGAAGAAGGAAGGAAGGAAGAAGATGTACCCAATAACTATAAATGGTGGTTCTTTTCTTAATTATGAAAATTTTCCTACTTTTCAAGAAAAACAAGTTAGTCACTTTAATTTCCGAATACTAGAGGGGGAAATTATATTATAAACATATATTATGTATGTTCTTGCTTGCAATTATAATTGGCCTTTTATTTTAATTTTTATTCTAATTTTCAGAGAAAAACATTAACAAATTTGAATATCTGACTTCCATATCCAAATCCCAACCCGCCGGTTGTGCTAGCATTGTGGATTGTGTGTATAATAAATTAACTCATTAAAGTAAAGAATTGTATCAGATGTGCAAAAATTTCTATTCTTTTTCTTCACACGAAATAATATTATTATTATTGGGCAAAAAATGCAGAAGAGTTAAATATTTGAGAGACTCATCACTCTCATTATCTTACCTTAAAGGTTCAAAAAATGCGCAGCCTGCCTGGAAAACTGGAAGTTGCAGGAAGAAGAGGAAGAAGCTGAACCAAATATAGATGGTTCTTCTTTTCTTAATTATGAAAATTGAGATATGCTTTTTCCCCTATTTTTTCCAGTAAACAAGTTAATTAGTCATCACTTTCTCAATATTAAGAGGGGGAAATCATGTGATAATAATTTATATATGTTCCTCCTGCGTGAAACTGATTGAGTATTATTTTTTTACCTTTCTGATTTAAAATTGAGTTAAATTATAAGGATCTATTAATTAATTAAAGGTGAGCAGTGTGTTAGGTTGTATTATAGTTTATTTTTTGGAGATTTTATTTTTGGCTTCAGCTATTTGTGTGTATTTTTTTATATTAATAAAATTGACTTTTTTGGCCAAAAAATTAATATTATTTCCTAAATTTTTATTTTTTCGGGGTATTTTTGAACGGAAGGTAAATGGGCTTGGCCTTCATACCTATAGAACACGAGAAAAGTGGGCCGACCCCAAACATATGGAATGGAACCATTCTGCGGCGACCATACATGGACGGTGAAGGAACGACGTAGCTTTGATTCCCTCTTTCACCGTTAATTCCCCTCCAATGGCTCCCCTCTTGTAACGATCTCCTCTCAAGATTTGAATCTCTGCCTATACTATTTCTACTTCGCTGTAATTCTTCCTTACCCAGTTTCGAATCTGTGTCTGTCGTCTTAATTGCAACAACGTTGATTCGCAATTATTCAATAACTTTTGGTAAGACTAATTGAATGATATATGTTTTCTCTGATTTGTGTTTTTTTTGCTCCCCTTGTTCCTTGTTTTATTGCTTTTGAGTTTGCGCTTCCTTAATGTATATCTATTCAATTTCTGGCATTTGGCAGAAATTGGTTTCAATGGCGCAAGCGCCGAATCCACGTAATGGCGAGTCAAGCACGCCATTGATGGTAAGTCGTAAACTTCCTTATAATCCATATCCGCGAAGTCTTAATTTTCCTCCCTTTTACGCTACTCTGTAATTTTTGGAATCAATTTTCTTTAAATGATTGGTTGTTTATATTTTAATGAAGTGAGATGGTTCGAGATGGGTGTCCTAATTATAAGAATACCAATAAGGTTTAGCTTTTTACACGTACAATGTTCTACCGCTAGTCATTTACATGCAGGGCGATAATTATGATGGGATTATTCCTCAGTTGTTTACGTCTGTACCAGCTCTGAATGAAGCTGCTTCTTATTTAGCACAAACAACATCCTACTTTACCCGTTGTTTTTCTGATTATTCAGGTTGGTTTGGTTTATTCAACTTGCATATGATATAGCTTATACAATTTCTTCTTTAAAAATTTTATGTTTAGAATTTTGCAGCCAATCACTCTTAACCATCTTTGAAGCTGGATTGATTATTGAGACTTTTTTGTATGAGAGAAAAGTGAATATTCTTGAGTGCATCTGCTTTCATATAACTGACGGAAATGTATGTTAGTAGTCCCTCTGGTCCTTAGAATTTTGCAGCCAATCAATCTTAACCATCTTTGAAGCTGGATTGATTATTGAGACTTTTTTGTATGAGAGAAAAGTGAATATTCTTGAGTGCATCTGCTTTCATATAACTGACGGAATGTATGTTAGTAGTCCTCTGGTCCTAAATGTAGGAGCTAGTTGAGTTGAGGGGTTTGCTTATGCAGTGAACGTAAGACCTCAATCTACTTGGTCTTCCAAATTTATAATTTTTTCCCAAATTATCCTTACTATTTGCTCATATTAAAAGGGGTTTCAATCAATGGGCTTAATGTCCAATAAAAATGGTTAGAAGGAATATTTTAGGAAACTAACACACTTTTTGTACAAATAAATAAACTAGTCCCTTAAATTCTATAAATTAGCTATCCAGCTCTTCCATTTTGGGCCGAAGGGAGTAGTATTCTTTCTAGCTGTTGCTTCATACCTTCCAAATAGAAATTTAGAACTAATTATGTCGCTTCAGAAGTCCTGTCAACTTCATGATATGAAACTATAACTTTTTAGGCAAAGTCAGAGAGTGAGATTGCCAATTTAGAAACTTATTTTGGCCTTGAGGCCTTGCAGAAACTCAGTTTTTAGCAAGTTTTCCAATAGCCAGATCACATCAACCTGTTTATAATTTATTTGGCCCTTCAAGTTGTTTAGTTCTGGAATTCAATATGTTGAATCATCAGATGTGAAAGTTGTGGTTTTTTTTTTTCTTTTTTGGCTGCTTGAGACATAATTTTAATCAGTTCCAGGATATTTGTTGTCACATGTATTGTTGTTTCTTTTTCCTAGTTTTTGAAGTCTTCATGACTCCTGTGGTCCGGATGTAAAATTCAATAATGTTGATGAAATTTGATTTTAGTATATCTCTGGTAGACTAGCCAACCAGTGAATCCAAAGGACCTTCGACAAATGACCTAGTTCCAATCTCTTTATACACTTTTGAGGCTGTTGCTTTGCATTTGCTACTTTGGTTTTTTTACATCACCGATGCATTTGATTCATAATGTCTTTATTTCACACTTTTTTCATTGTGCTGAGCATTGAGTTATTGAATCTGATAACTTAAATTTTTTTCACTATTTACAGTAGAATACTCCCCTGGCGAATCCCAATCTGGCTTTTATGCTGAAGAGATGCAGAGGTTTTCTTCTGGAGTGACTGAGGCATCTTCTGCTACAGCTGCTGAGCAAATATATTCTGATGGAAACTGTTTAAGACATACTGAATCATCTAGTACAACTTCAGCACCTTCACATATGCAGGATGGAATCACAAGGACTTCTGCAGGAGATTCATCACAAAATTCTGGCACGCTCATAGTTTCAAGTCGTACTGGTCAAAGTGGCATTTCTATTTTCCAGAGGTAATGTCTGCTGTTTGCTAACTGCCTCTATTTGTGAGGTTGATAATAAAGATAAACCCTAAGAAAAATGATCTTTTGTGCAAAATTTAAGCTAGCATGTTCTGATGTGTTGTTAAATTGAAATTTGAATATAATTCTTCGATCAATAAGCTAGAATTGTTTCCTTCAGTTTAACCCAATATATAAGGTTCAAGAGTGCATTTTTCCTTTTTTGTGTGTGTGTAGGCGTGCATCCGTGTCTATTGTGTGTGTGTGTATCTGTGGGTCTGGGGAGTTTCTTTCACTTTGCACAAAGAAAAATGATGTTAAGAAAGGTTACGCAACTGCAAAGTCTGGGCAAGATGATTCATTTCTGCTATCATGCTGTGGTTTAATATTATGAAAAAAAGTGGATTGAGATAGAGCTGGTTTAGAATTTGCAGTTGAATTCTGCACAATTTCAACATGTGTTGTTGTTATCCTTTTTTTTTTTTTTTTTTTTAAAGTCACATCTTATTGTGTTGAGATGATGGGTGTGCATGTTAGTAGATAATATATTTTCGATTTTTAGTACATGGGTTCCTTGTTTTATGATGGATTGATGGAACCCATTCAAGTGATATGGACATCATTGATAACACCAACTATGAGTTTAAACACCTATAAGATAATTTTTTTTCCTAGTTATGATATTAATTAATAAGGAACAGAGTGATTTTGTAGGCCCATAACCATGATGGTGTCCCTCCCCTTCTCTCTCTGGGCAGGGTATCAGGGATGTGGCTATAAGGAGATGTTCGGCATGTATGGCCACCTGGAACATTAGAATCATCTGGATTTGTTTATTGTATTGATTATAAACCATTGGTTCACATTCTATGGTAACGGCTTTCAGTAACCATGGACCGCTGTACTTTGTCAACACAAAAGCCAGCTTCTCAAAGATGGGTTTAACCTGTCATATTGCAAAGATACACAGTGAGGTATATCCGTTAGAGTAATTTATGCAACATTAAATTAAATGATTAGAATGACTAACAAAAGTATATTTTTATTGTTACGTTATATGTATTTGTCTTTGTCTGTGTGTTATGTACTTGCTATTACTGAATGTTGATTGATCATTAATCAGGCTTCAGTCGAGAAAAATGCCAAAGAGATAAAAGAGTACATAGAGGAAATTTATTGGGGCTCCAACAAACGTGTTTTGCTTCTTGGGCATAGCAAGGGAGGAGTAGATGCAGCCGCCGCTTTATCATTGTATTGGTCTGACTTGAAAGATAAAGTTGCTGGATTGGCATTAGCACAAAGTCCCTATGGTGGTAGCCCTATAGCTTCGGACCTTTTGAGACCAGGACAGCTTGGGGACTATGTAAATTTACGGAAACTTACAGAGATTCTTATCTGTAGGATAATGAAGGTATGCTGAGTTACCTTTTCCTTTTCTTTTTTTTCCTTGTTCAGTTGTGTTGGATTATTTAGCAAAGATCTTGTCATTTATATATGATTTAGTAAATAAAACCAAGGATTTATTGCGGTAAATATTCCCGTAGTTGTAACCAGCTGATCATCTGATGCGGGACCAGTGGCCAAGAGACAGAGGGGGAGAGGGAAGGAGAAGGAGGATATAGAAGAATTAGTGGGGGAGAAGATGTAGAGACTCTGAAAATGCCTAAATTATCAAATTAAGCTTAACCTCGGTACAAGTGTTAGGGCTTCATTCCAAAAGATTAGGAGAGAATTATAGAAATAGAAGATAACAAAAGCAAGGGAAAAAGATAATTGAATTTAAAATAAAAGCAAGGAGATAGTATGTTATTCCTTTGTCCATCTATAATCCATCATTTACAGACAATTATTTAATTACTTAATGCTATTCTTCATTATGGTCTCTTCAAACAACTTATAGAAATGGAAGCATAAGGAAAAAGATCATACACGCACTTACCTCATATCTTCCGTTCTCATGTTTTCTTCTTGCTATTTTCCCTTCTATTCTTTCGGATCCTATTCTATCTTCGTTGCTTGGCCTAAGCTGCACCTCCTTTGAGTTCTCTTTTCTGGGTCAGTGAACAAGGCTTTGACACCATTTAGATAGAGAAAGAAATTAATGTGGCTAAATTAATTAGTGAGCATCTTAAACTGAACTCTAGTTTATAGACTGAATAAAGCGACGTATATGTAGTACATTCTATTAGTACTTGGAGTAATAATAACAGGTTCAATGATTTTGATTAAGAAGCGTATAGCAGTATGGTCAAGTGATGTTTATGCGGGCTTCTAGCTAGAGCTGGGAATCAGGGCCGGCCCGGCCCTCCAGGCCGGCCCTTCAGGGCTGGCGGGCTTAAAAGGGCCGGCCCTCCAGGGCTGAAATTTTAAAAATATCCCAATTTGCTAAGCCCGGCCCTTAAGCTACAGGGCCAGGGCCGGCCCGCGGGCTTTTGGCCCGTTTAAGAAAAAATACTATTTTTTATATTTATCATATTTTTTTTATAAAAATATAAAAATAAACCAATGAAATTATTAATAAAAGATATAAATATGAATAAAATTAAGTCACAAATATAAAATATTATCATATATAATATTCATCAACATCTAAGAACATCTAAAACATTCATTAACAAGATAACAACATCTAAAAGTTTTATCTATAATGCAATTGTGCAATAAATAAACACTATCATTAATCTTTTGAAACTTCATCATCACTATAATTAATTATTTTTCTTCATAAGTATGCTTTTCTTTCGTAACAAAAATATCAAGTTTTTCTTCTTTATAAGAATTTTATTTTTAAATTTTGCAATCTAACTATTATTTACTTTAATGTGAGAAACATTGTTGTTGAAACTCATGAATTTCTAATTCAAATTATAGAATCACAAGTTATATAAGTATAAAAATATTCTATTATCAAATATATATATAGTTTTAAAAATATCAACGCATATAATATAAATCAAATCATTATTAAAGTCCAAATTAACCCATTTTTAAAAATTTAATTGGATAAATTATTGTCTAAAACTAAATTTAATTTTAAAATGATAATAATAACTAAATATTTGAAATATTATTAACAATGTAAAAATTAATAACATTAATATTATATAAAAAAATTTTAAAAATAAAAAAATATAAAGGGCTTAAAAGGGCCGGCCCGCGGCCCTCCAGGGCCGGCCCTTTTAAGCCCTCGGCCCTCCAGGGCCAGCCCTCCAGGGCTTATTTCTCATTTTAAGAGAAAAATATCAAGCCCGGCCCTCATAATTTCAGGGCCTAAAAGGGCCGGCCCGACGGGCTCGGCCCGTTTTCCCGGCTCTACTTCTAGCGTTCCTTGTTGATTTACAAGGGCATTGGAAATCTCTATTGAGCAATTCTTGTTTAGTCTATAGACATTGCTATTGAGGATTCCTTGTCCTCGTTTGATGTATTTAGTTTCTCCCATCAAATAATTCCTTTTCTATTTTCAATCAGTTAATTGCTTTCTTCATTTGGTGTTTTTTTTTTCCCCAGTTTTTGATTGTTGCCTTACCCTGAAGATCCAATAGTAATATATATTAAAAAAGAAAAGAAAACCATCTCACCCTTGAACAAAAGGGTTAACATGAATTTCATTTAAGGCTGCTGGCTGTACCAAAATAGCATTGTTTCACTTTATGAGTTTGGTGTATGACAGTTATATGCTGACGTCTTATATAGTCATTTATTATGAATGTGTTTAAGAGTTATTTCTCGTAAAGACCAGTTGATTTGTGTATTGGTCTCATATACTGAGCATAATAATGTCATTATATGATTGAAGTCGCGTTTTAATTCAGTGTCATAGTTTTCTGCATATACTTAGTAGTGTGACATAAGCAGCTTGCTACACTTTCTCTTTCTGCAAGGTTACTATTTTCTTCCTTTTAAAAATGTTTGGATGTCTAAGCCTCTGAGGTTATGGAACTTTATTTCTTGTTGTGAAGGGTGACATGCGTGCTTTGGAAGACCTCACATATGAGAAGAGGAGGGAATTTTTGAAAGAGCACCATCTGCCAAAAGAGCTGCCTCTTGTTTCTCTTCACACTGAGGCTGGCATTTCTCCTGCAGTTTTAGCCACATTATCTCATGTTGCACATGCTGAACTCCCCATGATTACTCCTTTATCAGCAGGGGAACCTGCAAAACTCCCTGTGGTGATGCCTTTAGGAGCAGCAATGGCCGCTTGTGCCCAGCTGCTACAGTTGAGGTATGGCGAGAAGAGCGATGGGCTCGTGACTTGCCGAGATGCAGAAGTTCCAGGATCTGTGGTGGTACGGCCCGACCGAAAAGTGGACCATGCTTGGATGGTTTATTCTTCACCGAAAGATGACACTTCAGAAGGAGATGCAGCTCAGGTTTGTGAGGCTCTCTTGACGCTTCTTGTAGAAGTTGGGCAGAAAAAGAGGCATGAGATCGCAATGAAAGATGAATGAATCATGCGAATTAGGCTTCGCATTTCTTTCGTGTTGTTGTCCCTGTACATATATACATCCCTCCATACTCGCGATTTATTGTTTCCCTTAGTCTTGGCAAAAATCAATACGGATGATTTTTTTTCTTTCCCCTTTGGCATCAAATCTGCGATGCGGATCTTGTATAGGTGAAAATATACATTCAGATTATATAAAACTTATCCTTGCAAAAATCGAAGACTAATATTTCTTCATCTTTCTTTCTTTGGTTTTTTCGAAAAAACGTAATAAAATTGTTATTACTTGTTATTACTCTTTTTTCTAAAAAATAGAAGTTCTTTGTGTCTAGTTACAATTGCAAAAAGTTATTTTTATTTAATATTGCTTCTCAAAATAATCAAAAAAAATAATTTTTTCCATCTGATCATTTTAAAAAGATTAGACAAACATCTTAAAATTTCTCAAAAATGATTTAAAAAAATAATTTTATTTTTTAGTGCTTTCAACTTCCTACGCCAATAATGAGTGCCGTTGACATCTCACTTGGGCCCCAAAGAGTGAGGTGAGCTAAAATGAACCAATAACTTTCAATTACAAGAGTAACTATATAATATCCCTTTACACAAACTGTCTTCCGTGTATTTAAAGGGGGGAAAAACTATGCAAACAATTATAAATATCTATTATATGCAAGGAACAGAAAAGTGAATTAGATATTAAACCGGTTGAAGTAGTGATTCAAGGGTTAATGAGTCAAAGCAGAATTAATTCCGAGTCAAATCGGTTATATTAAAATAATATAATATAATTAAAAATAACAAAATATAATAACATGAACAACAAAATACAAGAAAATACGATAATTGTTTGATTGTAACAATAACAAAGTACAACAACATTGAGAATTAAAATAAATAATTATTAATACCAAAATCATCATTAAAATTCATTTAAATCTATAGTGACTAAGATATTAAGAGCTGAATGAATAAAAAGAGGACCAATAGCAACATAATCATCCAAACTGATTCACACTAGTTTTTACTAATTCACCCCTAGTTTAACCAGCTTGATATCGGTTTACTGGTTTTCTAATTGAACTAGCTGGTTCTGTCCGGATTTTATCCCTTGATTATATGATAAATTTAATTTTAATTATTAATATGATAATATAATTTTTGTATATTTATCTTAGCATTAAATTAATAATTTTATTGTTTTTAATATAAATTTAATTTCAAATATAACGAATTTTAAAATTTAAATTATAAATTATTTTTTATAGGGAAAAAAACTTAGGTGACAAAAACTTTGAATGTACCCCTTGAGAGTTGAGCATCTCTCGTTAAGTGTATTTTTTGTCAATAATATAAAATGGTCTTTTTATAGTGGTTGAAAGACATTTCTACATCAATTCCCTAATCAACGTAGAAATGGCTGATGTAGAAAGCGAAGGATTGTTTCAATTGTATGGACCATATACCTAATTATTATTGATTAGTTGATGGTGTAGTATAGTTGTCATAGTGTTGTTCTCTTGGTTATTGAGATGATTTATCTCACCCCTCTTGTTCCTTCTCTTCTATGTGCAAGTTCGAGTGTTAATTAAGGCATGAAACCATAAAATTAAGTCTCTGAATTTTTCAAACCTTTTGGATTAATTACTCGGTTTTGCATGTTGGTAGCACTTACATATATGTCATTACCACGTGTTTAATAATTAAGCTTTATCCATTGCTATTGTCTAAATTGTATAGATTTAGCACACACCTATGTGTTGGCTATTGTTGGTTTGAAATCTTGGTTTGCGATGATAGTTGGCATTTTGGGACAAAATGAAGTATACCGAACCTCACCCTTATGACTTCATCACTCTCCATGATTTACTCTTATGTTGTTGAATGTGATTGCTCAAGATTAGGTAATTTATTGTGTTGTGGAGGATCGTGGTTGTGGTTGCTAGTAAAAGGTCGGTGAGAATGGAAGAAGGAGAAGGAAGGAGGGGCAGAAAAGTCTAATGGTTCTATGGAATTGGGTTCCATAGGGTAAGGCATGGAACCTAGTTTCATCGATTTTGATGGAACTGAGTTCCATGGAAAAGCTGGTTTTCATATACCAAATACTTCAAAACATTGATTCCACTTCCACTTCCAATTCTCCAGCCTTAGTTCCAACGCACCAAATGGGGCATAGGAATGGGTTAGCTATTGTTGGTAGGAAATCTTGGTTTGCGACGACAGTTGGTATTCTGGGACAAAATGAAGTATAGCGAACCTCATCCTTATTGCTTCATCAGTCTCCATGATTTACTCTCATGTTGTTGAATGTGATTGCTCAAGATTAGGTAATGTATTGTGTTGTGTATGGACCCTTAAGGGTTAATTTTGTGTATGTTGCATATTTTTTAGGACCTCCTAGTAATTCTTTCAAAAATGTTTGTGCTAAATAAAAATTTGACTTTATTTATATAAGATAATTTTTATCATCCATTGTGTCAATAAACGTATAATAATAATCCAAACCAAATAATAATAATCATCATCATCATCGTCATTGTCGTCGTCATCATCTATAAAAAATCACAGTGGTACATATAACGAATATATAGGAAGTAGCAGTCAAAATGGGTGTAGTTGTATGTCATCTTTAGCTGTAAATTACAAGAAATAAAAAATGGTGATGCATACACCTTTTATTTTCAAAACAGGCAATTTTATCAAAATGCTGTAAACAGTAAAAATAAATACTCAAATGCTATACTGTGGGAACTATTATGCTACATTTCTTGAAAATACGTTCACCCCATGATACACTTTCACTCTGATGTTCTGTTGTTTAAAATCAAAAAAGGAATTCGAACTTTTCCGTTTTCATTTTTGGAAAACTTACAGCTAAGTACCCCATTTCTTTAGCTTCTGCTGCTGTGCGCCTGTGCTGTCTGTCCATGACTTTCGAATTTTGGAGAAATTACAATTGCTACCCGTCCCTCATATCTTCTACTACTTCATTTTCTTTTATCCTGCATATTCTTCTAAATAATATAAATATAAGTATATTTTTGTAGAAAAATAACTTTTTATATTGATACTTACATTGTGGAGAAAATATGTAAATAAATTGTATGTACCACTGTGATTTTTGTCCTTCAAATTACTTTGGTATTAGTCGTTGAAATTTAAAACCCATGATATTGGTCCCTCAAATTATATCCATTTCTGGTCATTGGTCCCTGGTAGCTTCAGGCCATCAAATTCGTTTGAGTTGGTGATAACTTTATTAACCTATGATGTGGCAATTGACTTAAGAGAATGAGCTAGACAATAGTTTGATAATGTGGCTTCCTAACATGTACATATAAGCAATGGGAAAAAAAAAAAAAAGAAATGCTGAGTTGAAAAGAAAAGAAACGGATGTGACAAGAGGAATAAAAAAGACAAACCACATCAGAAAAGAAAGGGGAAAAAGGATTAGGTCAAGAGTGAAGCGGATCCTCATTTGCCGAAGAACTGTGACGTGTTCATCATCGGAGGAATGTGATTTGCTGACGGCTAGTATTTTTGGTGAGTTTTGCTAGTTGAAAGGTGAGAATCTAAGCTTTACTTGCTAAGTCAGATGTCATATCATTAGGCTTTACTTGCGAAGTCAGATGCCACATCATAGGTTAATGGAGTTAGTGCCAACTCAAATGAATTTGATGGCCTAAAGGTACTAGGGATCAACAACTATAAATAAATATAATTTGAGGGGCCAATACCATGGGTTCTAAATTTCAGGGACCAACATCAAAATGGGCCAAAATTTGAGGGACCAAAATTTGTATTAACCCACAAATTAAATAAATATAAAATATTTATAAATTTTCTATAATAAATCCAAATCTACACATGTTTAGTTATAAAATATACACTTATCAATTTGATCGATGGTCTTATGAATGCTAAAGATGAAAATGGAAACAGATTGGACGCTTAACAAATCATTGATACTATTTTAATGTATTTGAATGCTGGTCATGAGCCTTCAGGTCACACAGCCACGTGGGCAACAGTTTACCTACAACAACACCCATAAATTTTCCAAAAATCAAGGTACCATGAATTCGCATTTCTAGTTCACAATATTGTACAGTTCAGGACAATTTGTGTTCAACTATGCTATTTTACAATTAAGCTCCATTGAATCCTAATTATATGCTCTTTTGCATAGACAAAGATGAAGGGGGTTATAACGTAATTTTAACTCAAAGATTTTAACTTGTTTTAATATATACATTGATTATTTGTATAGGTTGAGCAAGAAGAAATCATTAGAAGAAGGCCTCCAATACAAACAAGGTTGACACTCAAGGAAATTCGACAAATGGAATACCTTTCTAAGGTATATAAAACTCACACGCCCACTCATATGCATATATGATTTATCACTGCAAACCCAAAACTGACATAAGCATACACGATATATTTGTTTCCTATATTGTATGTATAGGTGATTGATGAAACTATGCGTTTGGTTACATTCTCATTGACTGTCTTCAGAGAGGCAAAATCAGATGTGAATATCAATAGTTGGTTCCCATCCTTGTGACTTAAATCATTTAGTTCTGACTTATCAATGGGCTTTTTTTTCGTTTTCGTTTTGCTACCGACTAATTTGGAATTGGATAGTCTACCTTGTTCCGAAAGGATGGAGAGCCCTTGCTTGGTTCAGGACTATTCATTATGATCCTAAGATATATCCGAATCCTATGGAATTCAATCCTTCAAGATGGGATGTGAGTTGCATATATAGATTTTCATCAAATGTTATATACTTCCTAGGAACATTCAATTACAATGGTATCTTTTAATCATTTATTTTACAATTGTATATTATAGAATTTTATACCAAAAGCTACGGAGTTTATGCCATTCGGAGTAAGAGGTAGATCGTGTCCCGGAAATGAGCTTGCAAAGTTAGAAATTATTGTGTTTCTTCATCACTTTATTCTCAATTATCGGTACGTATACAATTATAAGCTTGTGAATTGTAGGTTAAAATTATAAATAATTGTATAAACAATCAATTTTATATATAATTAATTAATGTCTTGAACAATTGAATCCGAAGAGCCCTGTGATGTACCTTCCACAACATACAAGGCCCGTTGATAACTGCATGGCTAGGGTTCATAAAATTTCCAAAGCATGATCAACATAGAGTGATTACGTTCAGGCATGGATCTATGATATCATGGTTAATGTTTTAATTGTGTGTTATGTCCCCATGTTGTTCTTTTATAATAAGTCTCAGGAAAATATATCCTAGGAGTCTATTATATAATGAATGTTATCATTTGTCTTATCTATAGCCCTTTGTTTTTCCTACTATCCTGGAGAGCCCTTGCTTGGTTCAGGACTATTCATTATGATCCTAAGATATATCCGAATCCTACGGAATTCAATCCTTCAGATGGGATGTGAGTTGCATATATAGATTTCATCAAATGTTATATACTTCCTAGGAACATTCAATTACAATGGTATCTTTTAATCATTTATTTTACAATTGTATATTATAGAATTTATACCAAAAGCTACGGAGTTTATGCCATTCGGAGTAAGAGGTAGATCGTGTCCCGGAAATGAGCTTGCAAAGTTAGAAATTATTGTGTTTCTTCATCACTTTATTCTCAATTATCGGTACGTATTACAATTATAAGCTTGTGAATTGTAGGTTAAAATTATAAATAATGTATATAAACAATCAATTTTATATATAATTATTAATGTCTTGGTTTGTATGGAAGGCTTGAACAATTGAATCCGAAGAGCCCTGTGATGTACCTTCCACAACATACAAGGCCCGTTGATAACTGCATGGCTAGGGTTCATAAAATTTCCAAAGCATGATCAACATAGAGTGATTACGTTCAGGCATGGATCTATGATATCATGGTTAATGTTTTAATTGTGTGTTATGTCCCCATGTTGTTCTTGATAGTCTACCTTGTTCCGAAAGGATGGAGAGCCCTTGCTTGGTTCAGGACTATTCATTATGATCCTAAGATATATCCGAATCCTACGGAATTCAATCCTTCCAGATGGGATGTGAGTTGCATATATAGATTTCATCAAATGTTATATACTTCCTAGGAACATTCAATTACAATGGTATCTTTTAATCATTTATTTTACAATTGTATATTATAGATTTTATACCAAAAGCTACGGAGTTTATGCCATTCGGAGTAAGAGGTAGATCGTGTCCCGGAAATGAGCTTGCAAAGTTAGAAATTATTGTGTTTCTTCATCACTTTCTTCTCAATTATCGGTACGTATACAATTATAAGCTTGTGAATTGTAGGTTAAAATTATAAATAATTGTATAAACAATCAATTTTATATATAATTAATTAATGTCTTGGTTTGTATGGAAGGCTTGAACAATTGAATCCGAAGAGCCCTGTGATGTACCTTCCACAACATACAAGGCCCGTTGATAACTGCATGGCTAGGGTTCATAAAATTTCCAAAGCATGATCAACATAGAGTGATTACGTTCAGGCATGGATCTATGATATCATGGTTAATGTTTTAATTGTGTGTTATGTCCCCATGTTGTTCTTTTATAATAAGTCTCAGGAAAATATATCCTAGGAGTCTATTATATAATGAATGTTATCATTTGTCTTATCTATAGCCCTTTGTTTTTCCTACTATCCTCTGTAGATCCACGTGCATTCTAAACTCTTTTGAATTTATGCTTTGATTATCAAATAAAAAGAATAATAATTAGGAAATTCTATCTTGCACATGTCATCATCTACTTTAAAAGTCCTTACACTGGGCAAGAGACTTGGCATACACTAAAAAATAAATTTGTTACATAATATGTTGCAATAACTAACCTAATGTGTTCTCAATAAAATTCAATGTCTTTAGTTAATTTTCAAAATGTCCATAAAGCCTCTCTTTTCATTTATCTTAATTCTTACACATGCGTATCAAACATAAAGCCTCTAAATAGCCCATTGAAGGATACACAGCCTTTCTTAATTATTAAAGATTCTATACCATGACTTTTTTCAGATTTGGTTAGATACCTAGTTATTGCTGTTACTTATAATTTGTAGATTTTAAATAAATTTCTTTGAAAAAAATGTAACTTTGGTCGAGTCATTTAACAAGAAGCCAAATTGAAGGCTAAGATTCTATCTGATAAATGGGAAATATGATTGCTTAGTTGAGAATTAAGCATGCTAAATTGAAGGACAAAAAATGTAGGCCTGATGAGTCTTGGAAGCCAATCTTCATCGCCAAAAGTTTCTTTTTCTAAGACTCATTTAAGCCCTATGTTTTTCATCCTTCAGATTACCATTCTTAATTCTCAGCTAATTAATAAGCAATAGCACTTCTAATTTATCATATAGAATCTTAACCTCGGCCTTTAGTTTGGCTTTGTTCTCAACCACGACCTTCTCCTGTGATCATAATTAGCCATGCAAAATGCAGTTCATAATTTCAAAATGGACTTGAACTTTCTTCTATTCAGTTTCATTGAATAAGAACCTTCCTCCATGCCATCCGAAGCATAAGGTAGGACAAAGCCATGTTCCATTTTAACACGACGAAGAATTAGGGTTCATTTGGGTTAATGGTAGAAAAAAGACCTATTTTCACTTGTGTTTTTGAAAACTTAAGATTGGGTAAAAGTTATATTATATAATATAATTTAAATTTGAATTGACTTTTGTTAGTTTGTAAAATTAGAGTTATTTGATTAATAATAAAAAATGAAAATTTATAAATTTACATAATACTCCCTCTGGTTCAAAATAAAATAACTAAATCACTCAACTCAAAAATCAGTTAAAATTAGTAAATACAATAAATATATAAAAAATGTAACTTATTTTCTTAAAATACCCTTTTATGAGAGAGAGTAAGTGAGAGAGAAAAGAGAATAAATGGAAAAAGAGATAAGAAAGAACAAGTGAAAAATAGAGATGAGAGAGAACATAATTAATTAGGAGTAAAAATTTAAAAAAGAAGAAGAAAGAATTAAATGATAAGACAAATCTAAATTGTAACTTATAAAAAAAAATCAAGTTTCTTCAAAGATTTCATGCTGTGTTTTGAACTAGAGAGTATAAATTTGGATATAAGTCAGATAGTATTATATAATTTACAAAAGTTATAAGTATCAAATTTCTACTTATCGTTTATTGTGGCTCTTTACTCATAAGTCAAGTCGCCCCCATTACCAATACATTAGTAGCGCAATATCATCCGTCACATGTTTGATGTTGCATCCCGTTAATTTTAACCTATTAAATGAGAAATTTAGAACTGACAGAGGGCTAAATAAAATAGTAGAGGCAGACATGAAATAACTTTTGAAGTGAAATCCGGGTAGGGACTAGATTATCATTTTGAAAAGTTTCAGTTAAGGAAGGGTAGTATTGAAAATTATACCCAAAATTCCTAAAAATTTCCAAAAATGCATGAAAAATAGAATGAAATGTCTAAAATAGTATCTGAGGCCCAAAAGGTAGAAATAGGATAAAAATAATTTATTATAAAAGTTTTTGTAATTATAGGTATTCTTGGCTAGTTAAGGAAAAATAAGCCAAAATAAATTATTTTAAATGTACAGAGGCCTCAATTATTCAGACAAAAATGGGAAAAAAATTAGTTGATAGTTTACAACAGATTGTAAAATTATTCATAACCTCTGAAAGTACAAAGATTAGTTTAAAAATATTTAAAACCAAATTATGCTGATAAAAGACTGATTTTGGGAAAATTTTGAATAAAAGGAGTTATAGGTCAAATTTTGACATGAGAAAAATTGGTGAACTTCTTCTCAATAAAAAAGAGTTGTTTGCATAGACAAATGAATTTTTAGATCTTCTGGATTAGAAATGATTCAAAAAAAATTTAACTAATAGGATGGAATTATATAGTAAAATAACCTAAGGGCCCATTTGGTTCAATTACCAAGTGCTTATAGATGGTAATGCAATGCAATGAAATAGGGTGTAATGTAATATTCCTTACCATCAATATGTTTGGTAAGTTATTAATAAGATTTGGCAAAAAAATTATCTTTTATATTTAATCAAATAAAAATAAGATTAAAAGTCCGCAATGCCCCCAATCATAAGTACAAAACAGATGCTCTTACAGCTCCTTCTGCAATTACCAATCCCCCTCTGTCAGATCCTTGCAAGTCATAACACCTCTTCAACAACTCATAGTCCACCTCCATTTTTGTTTCAGCTTGGTCTTGAATTTTCCAATTTGAAACATTTTCAATTTTATCCTCTCCATAATCTGACTATGGTGAACAAGAAAGAAAGAACCAAACTAACCTTGCTTTTCTCCAAATAGATGCCTTCACTGTCTTTAGCTCTTAAAGGCAATGCCATTCTCATATGTCATTTCAACATTCATTGTCTCTCTCTGTGGTGACCCTTGTGCATTGCCCATCTTGCACGACTTTATGCTCTATTTGCATTCGAGGTCTCCCACTGTCGGCAACAATTCCTTTTTTTCCATCAACTCTTTCAGTAGTGTTCTATATATGATGCACCAAAACAGCACAATATGGAGAGAGGGGACAAAAATCAACCAATTTAAAGGTAAAAGTGAAGCAACATGAGGAGATATATGATAATGGAGGGAAGAGACAATGGAGTAGGAGGAGAGAGAGCAATAATGGTAATGGAGGGAGGGAGATGAAGGATAAAGTTTGGAGAAGGATAACGATTAAGGGAAAATATTGTATTTTTCACATTGATTACAAAGGCTAAAATCGATTTATATAAGAGATTGCAGCCCTATAATGATCATTCATAAACCCTCCCATAGGAATGGATATTACCAAAAAAAGGTGCAATTGATATTACCATTATAATTCTTTTTACCATTAGAAGTCCAACTAAACATGTCATTTATGGTAATGTAATAATAATTAACATTGCACACCTTCAATGGGGTTGAACCAATAGGACCCTAAAGCTTTGTAGGGCAACTTTTTCTCCTAATTTTCTATCATTTTTGACCCCATTTTTATAAAAGGAGGATCAGGTTGGAATTATGCTATTTGTCAAGGGACATAATTGCAAGATGTTAAATTATAATTTTATATTACTTTTAATCACATATTTAATTTGTAAAGATGACACATAAGAGGACATTTGGCCAGTTATTGAGATATAAGAGGACACTTGGCTTCATCTTAAGGAAGAAGACATGATCAAGAGCCAAGTAAGACATGGAATTTTAAGATTTTCCAAGGGCAAAAAAAGGGAAGCCATGGCAAAATGTGAGTCCATAAAAACCCCCCCAAACAACACATAATTTTGCCAAAAGAGAAAGAACAAGAGAGGGAAGGTTTTGCTCTTGAATTGAAGGAAAAGGGAAGAGAAAAAGGAAGAAGGAAACCAAGACAAGTTCAAGTAATCATCCAAGATAAGTCAAGGCTTCCATTAAGGGTTTAATTGCCTTGATTAGTGATTGTTTTGGATTTGATTTTGATGGAGAAAAATGGCAACAACCCTACTCTAATTTCTGCCCAAAATGTCATATAATTTGATATGAATGATTAGAAAATGGCTTGGGGATTAAAGAATAGAAAATGGTTGGAAACTTGTGTTGTACCTTGGTTTATGAAAGAATTTCAATTGTTACCTTTGTATGTGTATTTCTGCCAAGCATGGATCATGAGGCTAGGATGTGATTCATGTTAATTTGATGCTTCTAATGAGTTTAAGGAATGAAATTATATAGGATCATGTTGAGGAAATGTGTTTGTTTGCAAGCATTAAAATGAAAATAAAATTTTGAACCCAAAAACCCTATGTCTCAACCAACATGAAATCTAGGGAAAAAGAGTTGATTTGATG